GGAGAGTGCTATATAAGTGCAAGTTGTTGTTGTTGATTGTTGGCTGGGATACTCCGGGAGAGAGAAATTCCTTCACTGAACCCACCACATCCCCCCAGCACAGGGCTGGAGCTTCATCTTAGACTGTGAGCCTATTTGGGCTTGAATTCAGGAGTAGAAGAGTTAAGGGGAGGTGAGAAGAGACGTTATCACACCAAGAGTTATTGGAGCGTGAAAGCCTTTGCTACAAGTGTCTCTTGAAGTTCAGACCGTAACGTTTAAAAAGGAAATTGACAAAGTATTTGAAGAGGAACAAAAGAAAGGAGCACAGTGGTTGGAGAGCAGAAATTGGGATTGGAGTCGTGCGCCCTGTGGGGAGTGCTCTCCAGCCGAGGCTCGATGGGCTGAATGGCTTCCCCCTGTGCGGTAATTTCTACAATCCTATGAAGTGGATGATCCCACTGTGTGCTGTAGCTGGAGGCAGTGATTTAATAATGGCAGAAAAATACATCTTTGAAACAAAATGTGCAGGGGAAAAGTCTGCAGAGAAAGATGGTGTCCTGGTGTCTCCTTGCCACTGATCTCAGCTGTTTTTCTTGAGGTTTGGAAAAGTCCCAGCAACTGCCGTCCACTGAAGGTTGAGAGATGATTCCCTGACTGACCACCCAGCCTTGCTTCCCGCCAGCTCAATCCATACTGCTAACAGCCTGCTAACCATACAAGTTTTAAGGTTACTTAAATTTGTGTCCCCGCATTGAAGTAAGGACTGACGCAAATGATTCAATCAATTGCTATTTATTAATAAAAATTTGTAAAGAAATGCTTATCAAAGTTATATGTTTCATCAAATCAAATTAATGCTTACAACAGGTTAATAAAGTTCACTGCAATTAATTGATCAGACCAAATCCAGTGATTTTGATGAGGAATTGGCTTGTTAATCCATGTTGATTCTGGTATATCCCTCTTTCCTCGAGTTTAGTTGTGATTGGCTGATCCATTCTCTCTTCTCCAATATAACCTGAGCAATCGGTTTCTTTATCCCTTGCTGTTCACACATGCCAGTCTGTTCAATGTGCTTTTAGAAATACCACCTGCAAACCAAGGACTTATCCCACATTGATTTTGAAGTAAACTTTGTTCAGTAAACATGGTTCCACTGTCCTTGGCTTTCAAGCAGCGACAGCTTTCCTGAAACAAAACAGGCTCATGAGTATTCACAATTTTTCTTTAGTTAACACTTTGGTCAACCCAAGCAATCTGGGATTGCTTACAGAGTGTCTCAATGTCCAGCGACAACGACAACAACTTGCACTTATATAGTGCCCTCCATGCAGGACAGCCTCTCAGAGCACTTAACATGGCGGAGCCTGACTCCGAGCCGAGGGGTGGGTGGGGAGGTGACCCACTTGAAAAAGGGGAGAAAGAGGGCTAGGCGGAGGGATTAAGGGGGGACATTGGGAAAGTTTGACTGACCGACCAGGCCAGCCAGGCAACACTGAACCTGAGAATGAAGGTTCGAGCCCCATACGGGGACAAGTTGTGTTTGGGCTGATGCTCCAGCAAGTGCTGGGGACCATATTATCACTTTTTCTTTATCATTTTGCCATCATCTTCCTTCCCACCCTCTGCGCCAACGACACCCCCCCCCACTCTCCCCTACCCCCCACCCCTGGACACTATCAGAAAGAGAAGAGAGATTCCCCCTATGTCACACAAACTGTCATGAAGCAAATGACTACCGCTTTATCTGGGGGATTGTCAAACCTGGACAGACAGACAGGACTTCAGTATGGGACCTCAGTCCAAATGATGGGACCTCCAAGAATGCAATGCCCAACAATCCAAACAAACCAGAGAACCAGAGACATTTATGGTACAAAAGGAGGCCATTCGGTCCATTGTGTCTGTTGGCTGCCTCTTTTAAGAGCAATCCTTTCAGTCCCATTTAGCTGCCCTTTCCCTAGACCCCTGTATTGGAGCATCAGGCTGGACTATATGGGCAGCAAGTCCTGTGGGATTTGAACTCACAACCTTGGGTATGGGATGTGAGAGTGCCAGAGACTGAGCCAGGCTGATACAACGTCAACAAAAGTCAATGCTCGGTATTAAATGCTGGTGATGCGAGTGGAGCATGTTGTGGGTGTCTGGACACTGCCACCTTTTGGTTACAATTGGAACTCTGTGAAGCAGACACAACAGAGTCTTATAGAAAATAACTCAACTCACCCAGCGGCTCGCTGCTCCTGAAGCTGAAGGTATCAGAGGGCTTTAATTGAGGATCACTGACCTGGGATAATAGGAGTAGGGGATGATGGAGCTGGCTGTAAATAATAATCCTTATATTTGATACAGTGCCCATAATGTTGGAACATTTCAAAGCATCACAAGGAATTGCTATCAAGTGCAGTGACTGTGTCACACAAACTGTCATGAAGCAAATGACTGTCACTTTATCTGGGGGACTGTCAATCCTGAACAGGCAGACAGGACTTCAGTCCAAATGATGGGACCTCCAATAATGCAACACACCATGCCCCAGTACGGCACTGGAGAGTGGGCTTGGACTGTGAGCTCAGAGTTGCAGTATAGAATTTAGAGCTGATTACCTTATAATAATACTTGCGGTTGATATAGCGCTTTTCACGTCGGGAGGACGTCCCAAAGCGCTTCACAGAACACACTGTAAAGTGAATTGACTGTATATTTGTGGGCGAACGCGGCAGCCAATTGCGCACAGCAATGTCCCACAAACAGTCGTAGATTGAAAATGACCAATTTATTATTGTTTTTGGTTTTGGAGGGTTATTATTAGGCTCTGTGTGGAGTAAGGAAACTTGCCCAGGGTTTCGCCCTCTGCCTGGAATTGAACTCAGGTCTCTCACTTGCAAAGCGAGTGCTCTAACCACTGAACTACAAGACTCCACCTTCTAACCCACAGGCAAGAGTTTAACTGACTTTGAGCCAGGGCAGGTGTTAGAATTCACAATTATTGAGCTACAAATGAGCTATGGTATTTTCTAACGTCCTTTCTGACATCTTTGTGTTTGTTTGTTTATTTATTTATTAGAGGCAGATGAATTGTAAAATAAATCTGTTTTTAACCTTTATTTAAATGGTCCCCATTTTCCAGGTAGTGAGAGACCCCTTAATCTAATCTCATGTAAAGGAGCCTGACCTCAAGGAGAATAATGCAAGTATAAATGTTAACGCATCTAATAAAAACTTGGAATAAAATAATTAAGCATCGAGAGCTGCTTATCTGCTCCTCTGTGGTGAGGCTGACATGTGGGTGAATACTGCCCCCTCTCCTCCCCACACCTCCCCCTCCCTCCTGGCCCTCCCCCCACTGCCCCCCACGGCTCCCCACACCTCCCCCCCTCCTGGCCCTCCCCCCACTGCCCCCTCTCCTCCCCACACCTCCCCCTCCCTCCTGGCCCTCCCCCCACTGCCCCCTCTCCTCCCCACACCTCCCCCTCCCTCCTGGCCCTCCCCCCACTGCCCCTCTCCTCCCCACACCTCCCCCTCCTCCTGGCCCTCCCCCCACTGCCCCCTCTCCTCCCCACACCTCCCCCTCCCTCCTGGCCCTCCCCCCACTGCCCCCTCTCCTCCCCACACCTCCCCCTCCTCCTGGCCCTCCCCCACTGCCCCCTCTCCTCCCCCTCCCTCCTGGCCCTCCCCCCACTGCCCCCCTCTCCTCCCCCTCCCTCCTGGCCCTCCCCCCACTGCCCCCCTCTCCTCCCCACACCTCCCCCCCCCTCCTGGCCCTCCCCCCACTGCCCCCTCTCCTCCCCCTCCCTCCTGGCCCTCCCCCCACTGCCCCCCTCTCCTCCCCCTCCCTCCTGCCCTCCCCCACTGCCCCCCTCGCCTCCCCACACCTCCCCCCCCTCCTGGCCCTCCCCCACTGCCCCCTCTCCTCCCCACACCTCCCCCTCCCTCCTGGCCCTCCCCCACTGCCCCCTCTCCTCCCCACACCTCCCCCTCCCTCCTGGCCCTCCCCCACTGCCCCCCTCTCCTCCCCCTCCCTCCTGGCCCTCCCCCCACTGCCCCCCTCTCCTCCCCCTCCCTCCTGGCCCTCCCCCCACTGCCCCCCTCTCCTCCCCCTCCCTCCTGGCCCTCCCCCCACTGCCCCCCTCTCCTCCCCCTCCCTCCTGGCCCTCCCCCACTGCCCCCCTCTCCTCCCCACACCTCCCCCCCCTCCTGGCCCTCCCCCCACTGCCCCCTCTCCTCCCCCTCCCTCCTGGCCCTCCCCCCACTGCCCCCTCTCCTCCCCCTCCCTCCTGGCCCTCCCCCCACTGCCCCCCTCTCCTCCCCACACCTCCCCCCCCCTCCTGGCCCTCCCCCACTGCCCCCTCTCCTCCCCACACCTCCCCCTCCCTCCTGGCCCCCCCCCACTGCCCCCCTCTCCTCCCCCTCCCCTCCCTGGCCCTCCCCCCACTGCCCCCCTCTCCTCCCCACACCTCCCCCCCCTCCTGGCCCTCCCCCCACTGCCCCCTCTCCTCCCCACACCTCCCCCCCCCCTCCTGGCCCTCCCCCCACTGCCCCTCTCTCCTCCCCCCCTACCCCCCACTCCTGGCCCTCCCCCCCCACTGCCCCCCCCACTCTTAAGCACAACCCCCACCAACTGAGTGCTTTGTGACGTCCTCCCGACGTGAAAGGCGCTGTACAGATGCAATATGTTCACACCGGCCGCCACTGCACTCCGGACGGCGCTGTGTCTGCAGTTCCTCAGGGCGCCGCTACATTCCAGGCGACGCTTTGTGTGGGTGGGTGTGTGTGCGCACGCGCAGTGGGGGTGGGTCGAGGGCGGTGGGGTGGTTCAGTTGATAGTTGCAGTTCCTCAGATCGCCGCCATACTCCGGGAGGCGCTGTACGCGGAGGTAGACGCCGGGCGGGCGGTTGCAGACCCTTGGTGACGCAGGTTCGGGGCCGGCGTTTTCCCACAGTCAGTGCGCGGCCTTAGCAACGCGGCGGCCAGGCCGGGAAGGGGCCTGCTGGTTGGGCAGGCCGGAGGGAGGGAGGGAGGGAGAGCGAGCGCCATGCTGGAGGGACTGGCGGCCTGGGTGCTTAACACTTACATCGGCAAATACGTCAACAACCTCAACACCGATCAACTGTCCATCGCCCTCCTCAGAGGTAACACACACACACACCTTTCTCTCTCTCTCCCTCACTGCCCTTTATATTTGTATATATATGCCCTCTATATGTTTCACTCACAAAATACACAGTCACTACACTTTACAGGGTATCCTGTGAAGCACTTTGCGACGTCTCGAAGATGTGATAAGGCGCCGTGTCGAATGCAAGTTATTATTATTTTTGCACACAGTGTGGAGCGATATAATATAATATATAAACGTGTCCCTCGTTGCCAGTCTGAGGCTCGGTCGTTCACCCTCAAGTCTGGGTTAGAGGTCACAGGTCGAGCTAACCCCTCCCCCGCGCGGTGGGCACGCTGAGGCTCCAGCACAGCGGTAGGTAGGGGGGAAGTGGGCGAGTGTGTGAGCGAAGCGCTGCATTGTCAGAGACGCCCTCCTTTGGTTGAGACGTTAAAACGGAGCTCCTCTTCCCCACCTGTTCAGGGCAGACGCTAAAGATCCTGTGGCGCTGTTGGAAAAGAGAACAACAGCAACAACAAATCACATTTGTTTTCATGTCAGGAGGACGTCCCAAAGTGCCAAGAGAGAAGGGAGTTCCTGTCTTCTGGTGTCCTGGCCAACAATCTCCCCCCAGACAATCAGCTGATGATTGTAACTGCTTGTTGTTTTGTAAAATAACTGCCACCTTTGGCTGCAAAAATAGTCACTACACTTATCCTTACATGTCTGTGCAAATGGACAAACCTTACATTTGACTTTGAAATGTTGACTGCCTATAAAGTAACCGATTTTTTTTATTTCTCATCTCTTTCCCCCCCCCCACTCCCACTCACCATTACCCAAACTGCTCATGTTTTCATCTGTAAGTCAGACTTTGCCCCTGACAATGGTTTCAGTTGCCATATTATCTCTGCATGTGTACTTTCACTTTCTCTTGTGCTTTTTGAATTGACTATTTTGTTAATAGTTACATTTTTTAACTGGTCACTTGTAGTCTAGTGTGAAAGGCAGTTTTAATTTCAAACCTTGTGTACTGTCTCAAGCTTTTCTAATTGTATAAGCCCCCGCCTTATTCATCAGGGTAAGGATGAAAGGAATCTTGTAATCTCCAGGTCGGTGCAAGAGATGCCATCTGCTCGGCTGTCAAACTGCAGCAGAACAGACCTGTCTGTACTGGCCTTTCTGTTCAGGCCCAGTTAATACTTCTAGTTCAAGTTCCGGTTCTCTTTCGAAATGTTTTCCTTGATTTAGCCCCCTCCAAACAACACATCTCCACGAATGCTTTATGTCAACGTCCTGCGTTGCGGCAGCTGGTTCCGCACAGCAGGGTCTCACAAACAGTCATGGATTAAGTGACCATGTCTCAAAGCTCTTCACGAAATATACTGTAAATTGAATTGACTGTATATTTTGTGGGCAAAATGTTTTTTCTATGGGAGGGAGTTGAAGTAGATTTGGAGAGTTCTCCTTATGGGCACCCAACAACAGTTACAAAAGGAGAATAAAAAAAAGCTGAAGGTATTGAAATAACTCCCTAGCAACGTTGTGTGTTATCATGTTTATTTTAATTTGCCACACTGCTTTTGTTCAGATTTGAGTCTAACTCTGTGTGTTTCCCAGGGTGTGCTCTGATGCTGGAGAAGGGCGTTGTTGTTTCTGTTCTGTAACGTGAGCAACTGATGTCATGTGCCTACAATGTGTGGTTACAATAGTGGTTGTGCAGTTTAAAAAGATACCATCCTATTCGTGTTTTATCAGTCATTGCTGAATTCCAATGCTCATTTCACGCTGTTTCTCCACAAATAATAAATACCACTGGAGTTTAGAAAAGAAGGTCATGCTCGTTTAGTGTCAACAGACAGAAGAAGTGTCCAGAACTAAGGAGGGGAAATCAGGGCTCCTGTCTGATCACTTGTCAATGCTCTTTGCTAGAACATTGTGTGCGCGTGTGGCTGTCAGTTAAGGATCAGGTGGCAGGATCAGCTCAGCTGTGTATGGCTGCACATTCTGACACATGGCAGTGAAACCCACACCCCACCATAAGTCAACACCTTAATGCCAGGATTGGCGGTGAGATTGGTAGGAATGTGCCTACTACAGTCACCTCTCCCCTCCCCCCTGACTTGCGCCATGCTCCGTCACTATCAAGTGCTCTGGGACGCTACCCAGCGTGAGGGGCCGCTATATGCAAATGGTTGCCACCGTTGTGTACAAAAACAGTGACTAGTTGTTGTTGGAAAACCAATGAGTGGAGGAAGGGCCTGTGGAACTTGGTGAGCCAATCGCAACATTGCTATTGTTTGATCATGGCCAGGTGTCAGCGGGAAATGGTGCCGATTAACAAAACCTTTCTGTAGCTTTTGGTAGGACTCGCTCAACTAGTCACCCAAGCAAGTTAACTTTCCCTGCGGTGAACCTTTGATTAATGCAGATAAACAGCCTTCAACAACAACACTTCAACAACAACAACTTGCATTTATATAGCGCCCCTCCCGCTGGGTAGCATCCCAGATCATTTACAATTGTGTGCATTGGGCTAGGCCTGCTGTACGCAGAGGTCATTGTAAACCCTCAGAATTTCCAGACCCCGATGTGAAGGTGATTTGGATTTCAGTGAGTCAGTATTTACTAAGATTCAAGTCCCCAGGCCCTGTGGCAATATCATAGAATCATAGAATTATACAGCACAGAAGGAGGCCATTCGGCCCATCGTGTCTGTGTCAGCTCTTTGAAAAGAGCTATCCAAATCAATCCCCTCTGTTTCTTCTAAAAACCATTTCAAATTGGTGTCCTCAGGTTATCGACCCACCCGCCAGTGGAACTAGTTTCTGCATGTTTGTCCTATCGAATCCGCTCATAATTTTGAAAACCGCTATCAAGTCTCCTCTTAACCTTCTGTGCTCCAAGGAGAATAATCCTAGCTTCTCTAGCCTCTGCTGATAACTCATTCCTGTACCATCCTGGTAAATCTCCTTTGCACCCTCTCAAATGCCTTAACATCCTTCCTAAAGTGTGGTGTTCAGAACTGAACACAGTCTCTAGCTGAGGCCTAACCAGTGCTTTATGAAGGTTCATCATAACTTCCTGACATTTGTATTCTATGCCCTATTTATAAAACCTAGTATCACGAATGCTTTTTTAACAGCTTTATCACCCTGTCCTGTCATCTTCAAAGATTTACTTATATGAACCCCAGACCTCTGTTCCTTCACTCCCTTTAAGATTCTACCGTCTATTTTGCCTCTCCTCATTCTTCCTCTGAAAATGCATCACTTCATATTTCTCCACATTAAACTCCACCTGCCACATGTCTGCCCGTTTTACCAGTCTGTCTATGTTCTCTTGCAGTCTGCTACTATCCTCATCACTGTTTACTACTTTTCCTAGCTTAGTATAATCTGCAAACTTGGAAATTGTACTCCCTATACAAAAGTCCTGATCATTTATATAGATCAAAACCAGCAGTGGTCCCAATACTGACTGCTGAGGGAGACCACTGCACACTTCCCTCCAGTCAGAAAAACAACTGTTCACCACCACTCTCTGCTTTCTGTCTCCCAGACAGTTCTGCATCCATGCCTCCACTGTCCCTTTAATACTGTGGGCTTCTATTTTGCTTACAAGTCTCTAATGTGAAACTTGTAAGCAAAATAGAAACACCTTTTTCAAACACCTTTTGAAAGTCCATATAAACTACATCAATGGCATTACATTCATCCACCCTCTCCGTTACTTCAAAAAAAATCACATTCATTTTCCATTGATGTGTAAACTGATCCAGGTAACTGGAATGAAATGGACAATGCTCTACGTGGATTGGGTTCACTGGGGGAAACCAAGTGTGGCCCGGCACTGAATGCTGCTGTTCTCACTCAAGGAAGCCAGAAAGATCTGAAAACAGGTGCAACAAAGGATGCTGCTTAGAGGTTAACATAACATAACATGTAGGAGCAGAAGTAGGCCATTTGGCCCTTCGAGCCTGCCACGCCATTCAATCATGGCTGATCTTCTAATCTAACTCCAGCTAATAACCTAACCCTGTCTTATCCCCATATCCCTTAATCGCTTTTGCAATAAGAAATCTATCTGTTTCAGTCTTAAATATGTTTAAGGTTGAGACACAGTCGAGTTGGAGCAGTCGTGAGATCTGGGCAAGAAAGAGCTTGAGTCATTAAAAAGTCTTTACAGTAATTACCAAGTGTAGTCACTGTTTTTGTACACAAGGGTGGCAACTATTTGCACATAGCAAAGATCCACAAACAGCCATGAAGACAGCCATGTTGGGATTTCGGGATTTCTAACATACCTTAAGACTGTGAGCTCAAATCCCGAAGTAGGACTTGAACCTGCAACCTTCTCTCCCGGAGATTAGAGAGAGTGGTTGATATTTCTGGAAATACGACCCTAATATTTTTCTGTGCACAACACGTACATGGAGTTTGTTTGTTAATAGCAATGCAGTTAAACAATTGCTGGAATAACTAATATCACTTCTGTGTAGGTGCGGTTGAGTTGGAAAACCTCCCTCTGAAACGAGATGCCCTGAAGGAGTTGGATTTACCCTTCGAGGTGAAGGCAGGTAAAACGGACTTCCCACGCACCAAATCGATTGACCGACTACGGATCATTATCTTAGTCAAAACCAAGCTCACAGCCAGGGTGCGAGTGTGTAAGAAAGAAGAAACAAGACACACAAATTTAAGAATTCATTAATGAATTAAATGGGAGGTTAGAGCAAAAAGTCTTTACACCGAGGGTGCTTGGAATGTGCAATTCTCTGCTGCAAACTCTTGCTGAAGCAGGGTTACATAGAGATGCAATATGATAACAGGTCATTTGGCGCAACCAGGTCATGTTTATACTCCATTTGAGCCCCCAAACCACCCATTCCTCTCACTATACCCATATATTCCCTTGCTCCTTATGTATGCATGGTACTAGCACAGTAATAATAATAATCCTTGCATTTGATATAGCGCTTTTCACGTCGGGAGGACATCCCAAAGTGCTTCACAGAACACACTGTAAAGTGAATTGATATATTTGTGGGCGAACGCGGCAGCCAATTGCGCACAGCAATGTCCCACAAACAGTCGTAGATTGAAAATGACTAATTTATCATTGTTTTTAGTTTTGGAGGGATTATTATTAGGCTCTGTGTGGAGTAAGGAAACTTGCCCAAGGTTGGCCCTCTGCCTGGAATTGAACTCAGGTCTCTCACTTGCAAAGCGAGTGCTCTAACCACTGAGCTACAGGACTCCACGTAATTGATTGGCATCACTGAGCTATCCTTTTTGCCGATTTATTAACGTCCTGCCCAGGTATTCATTTGATACCCCTATTCCTGGACTCATTTGGTAGCACTCTTGTCTCTGATTCAGATTGTTGTGGGTTCAATCCCCATGTTAGTACTGTTTATGGTACATTGCTGGTGCAGATTATCTGCCATGTTCACCCACAAAACACAGAGTCACTGCATTTTACAATATGTCCTGTAAGTGCTTTGGGATGTCGTCCTGACGTGAAAGGCCAAATGTACCAAACGTAAGAATCATTATTATTACTATTTCTTCCCGCCAGTATGAGTCATTCTATTCTTTTAAAAAGGAATTAGAAAATGACAATTAGAAATAATCATAATAATACTTGCATTTGGTATAGCGCTTCATTGTGTCTTCTAGACGTCTCAAAGCGTTTCACAGAATATACTGTAAAGTGGATTGACTGTATATTTGTGGGCGAAACGTGGCCAATTGGGCACAGCGGTATCCTACAAACACTCGTGGATTGAGTGACCACTTTTTTTGAGAGATTATTATGATTTTATATATTGTATTAAATATTGTACAGGAATATTATAAAGGCTGTGTGGGGGAGAGAGTGGGAGTAGACTGGGTAGTTCAAATGGGGAAAAAAAGCTCAGTGCAGTCATGATTAGCTGAATGTCCCATGTGCTGTAGCATTGTGTGATTGTCCTTTTCAAATTGATTCATTTCCTTTCCAAAACCATAAGTGATGATGTCTGTATTGACTGGTGCTTTGTGGGTTTGCATTTCTCAGTTTCCTTTCATATTTCAGGTTTTATTGGAAAAATAACTCTCCAGATCCCCTTCTATCGACCTCATGTGGAGCCGTGGGTCATTTCCATTTCCAGGCTCCACCTTATTGGCGCACAGGCAAAACTCACAGAATTTGATGAAGAGAAGGAGAGCTTGGCGGGCTGCGAGAGAAAGCGAGCAGTGCTGGAGGCTCTGGAGGCCCGCTGGAAGGTTGGTGTCAGGGACGGAGTGTTGTGTTTGATCCCCACCCCCTCTACTCTGCTGATCTGAGGAGCAGTGCTCCAAATGTTTGCTGTAGCTCGCTCGGAAATTTTTCGTACACTATACGTTTCAGGTAACAACTTTCAGAGCATCTCACAGTAATTAGTGGTATCTGTAGTGACTTATGTAGCAAATGCTGCTGCCGTTTTGTGCTGGGAAAGGACTCACAAACAGCATAAAATACATAATTTATCTGGAGGATTGTTGCCCAGAAATCCAGTTCTCTTCAATAGTGTCAGAGTATCTTTAACATCCACCTGAACACCTGATGTAAGCTCATTTTGTTTTCCCATCGAGGGTGGTGCCTTCGACAATGCACTGCTTTGTTCTCTCAGTAATGCACTGAATCAGAATAGACTGAACTGAAACAGCAACAACTTGCATTTATACAGTGACTCTCACGGAGGGTAGCATCCCAGAGCACTTGACAGTGGCAGAGCAGAACCTGACTGAGCCAGGGAGGGGGCAAGGTGGCCGTAAGCACGGTCGAAGAGGAAGATTTTAAGGATGGATTTGAAAAAGGGGAGAGGGGGGGGGGGGCAAGGCAGAGGGATTGAGGGAGAGTTCAGGTGCAACCTGAAGATGGGAAGGAAGGAGTAAGGTGGAGGGATAGAGAAACAGGAATAGAGGAAGAGTGTTCCAGAGTTTCTGGGCGTAGAAGCTGAAAGTGCAGCCACCAATGGTGGAACTGAGGGCACAAGGGACATGCAGAAGCCCGGAGCCTTCTGTTGAGCCCACAACTTCTGACCAAGATATAAGGGTTCCCAGCTTAGCCAAGCTGCCACCTTTGCTCAGTACCCGAGTTGTTGAGTGACTGTTATTGAGCTTCCTTCAGCACATTAACCAACACTGAACTGACCCAGGATCAGGAAGTATTTCCAAAATAAGCATAGAAAGTTTAAAAAAGCATAGAAAAGGGGAAGCAGTAAGATTGCATTCGACCCAATGGAACTCTTTTGTTGCACAGGATTATAGAATTATTTTGAAAAGTAACATTCCTGGGTAAAGTCTGTAATTTACATCAAAAGTCAATTGTTTTATAGTCTTGGTGTGCTTTTTAATTTAAAATACAGTTTTATCAGTCACTCATTTCTTTCTCTTTCATGTTGTTTGTTATTTTCTTTAGTTTCATCATTTTTATTTTGTTGGTCAGCTCCATGTATTTAAATCTCAGCATTGTGATTAGCTGAGCATTGTGATTTTGATGTGAAGTTTGAACCTGTTATTTCAGAATCCTGGGTTGAATTTTGTTTCAGAGTGAACAGCAGCAGAAAGGGGAATCCTACTGGTACTCAGTCACTGCCTCCTTAGTGACCAGAATTATAGAGAATGTGCAGGTGAGTTTCATAAAACTACTTCATCTCCCATGTTTAACATACACGCGAACGATCGATCTATCCACCTGCTATATCACCATCTACTAAAATATTAGTAATCCTTGCATTTGATACAGCGCCTTATCACGTTTTCTAGACGTCTCAAAGCGCTTCACAGAATATAATGTAAAGTGAATTGACTGTATATTTTGTGGGCGAAATGCAACAGTCAACTGCGCACAGCAGCGTCCCCATAAACAGTCATGGATTGAGTGACCAATTTATTATTTTATTTATTATTTTGAGAGGGAGAAAGGGAGAAGAGGCTTGATGGACTGAATGGCTCTTCCTGTCTGTATGTTATTGTTATATGATGAACTAGTATAATAGAGAAACAGCTGTTGGTGTGACTGGAATGTGAGGTCATAATCTGGAAAATAACCCGAGGTATTTCTGCAGCTGAAGGTGCAAGATGTTCATCTGCGTTTTGAAGATGATGTGACCAGTCCCGAGCACCCCTTTGCGTTCGGATTCTGTATCAAGAGCGTGTCTATGCAGAATGCTGAGGACGAGCCGGTGAGTACAGCACGGAGGGCAGCATCACTCCACGTTATATCTACATGACAAGGACAGTCTTTGTTGAAGGGAGTATCAAGTGACTTGATACAATAATAATCCTTGCATTGATATAGCACCTTATTATGTCCTCGAGATGTCTCAAAACGCTTCACAAGTTTTTTTTTGGTAAAATGCAGTGGCTGTGTATTTGTGGGCACACGGGGCAGCCAATTTGCACACAGCGACGTCCCACAAACAGCTGGGGGCAGTCAATGATCAATTTTAACTAAGGGGATTGTTGGCCAGGGCACTGGGAGAGACAACCCCTTTCTCTTTTCAAGGTCATGGGATATGTAACGCTCACCTGAGCAAGCTCAGACATTTCACCCAAAGGATGGCACCTCCAACAATCCAGCGCTCATCCAAGCACTGCACTGGAGTGTTAACCTGGGCTGGAGAGCTCAAAGGCCTGACATGGGGCTTGAAGAGGGAGTTGGATGTTTATGAACAGCAGAAACAATGCTGACACAGTCTTGATAGTGTTAGTGTTCAGAGGGATTTGGGTGTCCTTGTACACCAGTCTCAAAAAGTTAGTTTGCAGGTGCAGCAGCAACTAAGAAGGCGAATGGCAGTTAGCGTTCATTGCATAAGGTTTAGAGTACAAGAGTAGGGAAGTCTTGTTGCAACTGTATAGGGCCTTGGTGAGCCCGCACCGAGAGTATTGTGTGCAGTTTTGGTTTCCTTATTTAAAAAAGGACATACTTGCCCTTGAGGGGGTGCAGCATAGATTCACTCGGTTAGTTCCTGGGATGAGGGGACTGACCTATGAGGATAGGCTGAATAAACTGGGGCTGTATTCTCTAAAGTACAGAAGAATTAGGGGGATCTTATTGAAACATATAAGATTCTTAAAGGGCTGAATAAAGTAGACAATGAGGGACTGTTTCCCCTGGTAGGAGAAGTGGAGTCCTGCAGCTCAGTGGTTATAATAATAATAATCCTTGCATTTGATATAGCGCTTTTCACGTCGGGAGGACATCACAAAGCGCTTCACAGAACACACTGTAAAGTGAATTGACTGTATATTTGTGGGCGAACCCGGCAGCCAATTGCGCACAGCAATGTCCCACAAACAGTCGTAGATTGAAAATGACCAATTTTTTTTTTATTATTGTCTATTGGTTTTTTTGGAGGGATTATTATTATCTTGTTGATACTCGTCAACAAGGTGATGTCTCACCACTGTAATCATAGACAGACTGCAGACATGCACTCGCTTTGCAAGCGAGAGACCTGAGTTCAATTCCCGGCAGAGGGCGAAACCTTGGGCAAGTTTCCTTACTCCACACAGAGCCTAATAATAATCCCTCCAAAACCAAAAACAATAATAAATTGGTCATTTTCAATCTACGACTGTTTGTGGGACATTGCTGTGCGCAATTGGCTGCCGCGTTCGCCCACAAATATACAGTCAATTCACTTCACAGTGTATTCTGTGAAGCACTTTGGGACGTCCTCCCGACGTGAAAAGCACTGTATCAAATGCCAGGATTATTATTATTATTAATCTATAACAAGGGGTCACAGTCTTAAAATTAAGGGTCAGCCTTTTAGAACAGAGTTGAGGAAACATTTCTTCACTCAGAGGGTAGTGACTTTATGGAATTCACTCCCCCAGAATGCTGAGACTGATAGATTTTTAAATAAATAGAGGGATTAGGGGATATGGGGATAGGGCAGGTAATTAGAGTTAGGTCTGAAGATCAGCCATGATCTTATCGAATGGCGGGGCACAGGCTCAAGGGGCCGAATGGCCTACTCCTCCTAATTCTTATGTTCTTATGCTTGTTGGCATGTTCTCACGAATATTTTCATTGTAACAGGAATGAATTTTTCTCATCAAAGGAATCAGTTTTATGGTACCTTTTCACGTCAATGTCTCAAAACTGTTCAGACATAATTATTGTCAAGTGTAGGGACCATTTTGTAGGTGAGCCAACGTATCATCTATTTTAACCACAGCAAGATCTTATGGTCAGCTATGAGGCAAAGGACCGATTAATCTGGGGATAATTGTGCACAAAATCAGGAAAAACTCCTTTTTTGAATAGTATGACAGGTTTGTAGTGTCCATCTGAGCAGATAGACAGGGCCTTTATTTACCACTTGTAAAGAATAGCACCTCTAATAAAGTTGCACTCGAATGTCAACTTGGACTGTGAGCTCAGGTCGTGAGTGTGGCTTCAACCGACACCCTTGTGATTCAGAGGCGAGAGCACCTTTGACATGATCCAAAAATAGTTACATAGCAAATATACAGGGCACATACAGGTCAGTTGAATTTGGTATTTGCCTATTAGGCACATTTGACCCCAAATCACGCAGCTTTGTTATGAAGTCTGATGTGCCTGTTGGGTAAGTCACCTTCCAGTCCAGTGGATTTCTGACACCATTTCACAAGTGGTCCAGATCCCTGGCCTCCATTCTCTTCTTGAACAGTGCCATTGGATCTTAAACATTCACCTGAACAAGCAAACAGCACCTCAGTTTAACATTGTGGAGTCCAGTAGCTTATTTGTTAAAGCACTCACCTCGCAAGCAAGAGAACCCGAGCTCGATTCCCGGGCAGGGCAAAACTCTCCTTACTCTACATGCCTCTGTTTACCTAGCAGTAAATAGGAACCCGGTTGTTAGTCGATTGGCAGATCGTTTTCCAGGGCTAATCATCCCTCCAAAAAATGATCCATGACTGTTTGTGGGACACTGATATGTGCAATTGGCTTTCACTCACAAAATACACAATCAATTCACTTTACAGTATATCCTGTATATTGAGACGTCTCAACGACAAGATAATATATCAAATGTAAGAATCATTATTATTGTTATCTCATCTGAAAGATGGATAACTCTAAAAATTGTTCTTCAGTCCAGCCTTGATTTGGAAATGAGTTAAGGAAACCTTACAAGAGCTGAGGAAAACCAGTTTTCAAGTTGAAACTGAATGTAAGAACTTAAAAAAATTTAAGAGAAAATAATCTTGCAGCTTTAAACTGGATGAAATATCACGCTTTATATAATATGGGGGAATGAAAAGGGCTAAAATATTGAGTCAGTGGGGTCTAATTTACTGTATATCCTCATAGGATTCCTTAATAAGTAATATGAGTGGCACACTTGGAGGCTCCTTGCGCTAACCAATGGTACCTCAAGCCAACTCGCGGAACAAAGCTTTGATGCTGTCGATTTCTGTATCAGCGTTCTCGCAGGTTCATGGGCTATTCCCTAATGAGGAATCCTGTTCAAAAATCCCTCCGATTAGCCCAGTGACATGAAAGGTGCTATACCAATGTAATTAGTTGTTCTACGTGGTACAAATCTTGTTTAAAAGAGAACACTAAGATGAGCTCAGTGTTTGGCTTTGTGTAATCTGCATCATTCCCCCTCAGGTTGAGAAGTCCATGAGGAAGAAGAGGCTCCAGATTGAGGATTTCAGTATTTACTGGGATGTGGACTGTGAATTACTGGGTGACCTGCCTCCCTCTGAAGTCCAGGTTTGATGTTTATTTCCAGAGTTTAAGTAGTTTAAAGTCACCACTTTGATCTGCACAGTGTCTATATACTTTCACCAAATCCATCTGTCTTCACAGAGGGCAGGGTATGTTTGGAGCCCTTCTGTTCTCCAGCTGTTTGTATGGGCAATCCTATGTAGCAGCAGGTCAGGCAGCATTTGTGGAGAGAGAAAAGTGAATTAACGTTTGATGACCTTTTGCAGAATTGTGTGTTTCCAGCGACTTCTGTTTTTATTTCAGATTTCCAGTATCTGCAGTATTTTGCCCTATGTTCCTGGTATTGGAAAAGGTTTTTTATGATTCTAGTGATTGTCACGGGGAATAAAAAGGTTAAAGCTTCACATTGACAGTTTTCTCACTCATTTTTCAGGAGGCAATGGATTGTTGCCTGGAGAACCGAAACCACAAGTATGTGCTGGAGCCTGTTTGCGCCTCTGCCCTGTTAAAGCGAAATTGCTCGAAGGAGTCTCTTCGCTCTCGCAGTACCCCACGCATCGAGTGCAGTGTCAAGCTGGAGACCATCCCACTGAAACTGTCACAGGTAACAAAGGACCTTATTGATTCCTAAAACACAGATTAGATAGTTGTTTTCTTTTAGGAAATAACTTTATGGGATACAGTACATAGGTAGTTCGGGATATATGTGCATGCAACCACCAGGAAGATGGAAGAGAAACTAGATGGAGCTTGGCTTTTTTTTGTCCAGCGTTTCATATGTTTGTATGTTATGTTCTTATGACCTGGACCACACAGGAGAACTTTGTGATGGGATTCTCCTCATCTTGTCTTTCTCTGTCTCCCTCTCTCCCTCTATGTGTGTGTGTATCTCTCTCTCTCTGCTAATTGTCTCTGTCTCTCCTTCTGTGTCTCTGTTTCTCTCTGTCTCTCAGGTCTTTGTCTCATTTAATATCGATCAGTTGGGATTTGACAATTTCAGAGATAGAACAAGAACATTTGCTTACTTGCTAGAACAGGGATGTGACCTGTCAATCTCTGGGTTAGGGTGTGCTACTGCAACCATCAGGTTGCTTGCGAAAGTCTTTTGTAACTCTAGGTACATATGGCTTCAAACAGTCAAATTGGGATGTCAAGTTAGTCAAAAAATAGTCCAGGAGGTTGCAGGTCTGTCTCTTCTAAAGCCATGGTTACTAGATGTTTGTTAACTCATTTTGTTTGTACTAATGGTTTGAGTTAGGGATTTGATACAACAGTTAACCTGGACACAGTTGATACACAGGCTGCAGCTAATTGTGATCTTTGGGCTCAGATTTAATGCAGTTGGGTATTATTAGACTGGGCAAGGGGCTTGTGTGGTTGAATCAGACAGTGTACATGCATTCAGGAGGAAGCTAGACCTTCACATAAGGGAGAATAGAATAGATGGGTGTGGGAGAGAGGAAGGAATGGTTGAGCCAAGCGGCCTGTTTCCATGCTGTTCTTTGTAATATTTGTAATGTTCCAGTTTGATTTGTCAATGCACATTAGTCTGTGTTAGTGTGGCTTGATTTGCGTGTGTTTTCAGGTGCAGTACCAGCAATTGGTGACATTCCTGAAGGAAATGGAGAGGAAAGAGAGGCAACTCCGACTGAGGAAATGGAGGCCAAAAGTTGCCGTTGCAGAAAAGTAATTATCTTTTTAAATGAGGTTTTTTGCTCATTTCACCTATCCTCCTCGCCCCTCTGCCTATCGTATCCTGCTCCCATAGTGTATTTTAGTGTTGTTCCAGTTTTAGTTTCTCAATTCCATTTAATATCTCAAGTTCTCATAAAAACCCTTCATAGTTTTGAACACCTCGATCTGACCTTCTCTTCTCTCAACCTTCCAGCAAACCAACCCCAGTTTCTCCAGATAATTAAAGGCTCTCCTTACTGATCTCACCCTGGTTAATTTCCCCTTACCCTATCCATAGGGTCGTCATCCTTCCTAAAGTGAACACCCAAAACGATGCAGTATTCTATCTGAGGCCGAACCTATGATTTCTCTATTTATGTTTCCTTCTAAATAGTTCACGAGAGTGGTGGATCTTTGCACTGAACGCTAATCTCGCTGAGATCCGTGAGCAGAGGCTGAGATCAAACTGGTCCTTTGTGTTGCAACGAGCAAGGGACGCTGTCTTCTACACAGAGAAATACTATCAGAAGCTGAAAGGGGGTCTGATTACCCCTGAGGAGGAGGTAATCCTGGCCTGGTTGAGACTGCCGACAAGTCGTGCACAATTTTGCATTAAGAACACATGGGGCACTTGTCGGAAGAGAAAGGGGGAAAGGTCACACTGGTCAGTGTTCAGTTATCAGCTCGGTTGGTGGCACTGTTGTCTCCAGGCCTGAAGATTGTGGGTTTATGCCCTACAGCAGGGGTCTCCAACTGGTAGGTCTGTTCTGCCCATTCTGCAAGTAAACACCCAGCTCACAATCCCCCAGATCCTCTGTGCCTGTTTGTGGGATCTTGCTGTGTGTAGAATGGCTGCCTTATTTGCTGGCAAAAGCAGTCATAACACTGGACGGTGATTCCCGTAAAGCATAATGACCTGAAACCTGCAAATGTAAGTTCTGTTTGCTGTGGGGTTGTTGGAAGGTTTTGTTAATGGAATAGTTTGGAAAGCTTTGTTTTATTAGTTGAGTTGTTGCAGGTTTGTACTTTTCAGGTAAGGCTGGGGAAGGGAAACAGCGAAACAGCACTGAGAAATAAAATATTTTCTGTTTATCCTGTACCAGCAATCATACACCTAAAAAAAAATCCAAATATAGCTCAGAAAGAAACCATAGCTGAGCCTTTACGCCAGCGTACAGCTCTGACTGACGGAGTTTGGGTTTGTTTCTCTATCTCTGCAGAAAGAGCTGGAGAGGATCGAGGACGAGCAGACTTTGGAGGAGCTGAAGATCCTGCGGGAGATTGTTCATGAGCACTTGAGGAAGCAGGACGAGCTGGCAGAGGTCTGCACAAGGACTTTCTTGCACAAAATGGGGCTCGTATTTTGGGTCCGTGTGATATGTCTTGTAATGATCCTGGAGGCATTGAGAATGGTGTTGGACGGGGATAGAGGGGGTGTGGGAGGGGACAGGGGTCTGCGGCTATCTCCTGCCCATTTGATGAATATCACCAAGACAGCAAACTTGACCCTAAAATCTGCAAATATAGTATTGGTGTTTAGAGGAATGTGCAGTATGCGACCAGACGGGAATAAAACTGGAGACTAAGTGATGTGGAGTGAGGCATCGCTGAAAAATGAACTTCCCAACAGTGTCTTATCAATGTTTAGCCTTGACAAGAGACATCTCCCAGGGCATCCAGTAGTGTTGTACAAGACAGGTAGCAGGAACGAGGTTATTAGAAGTCAATGAAGGTCTATAGTAGAGAGCTGTTAGTATAAATTTCAGTATACTTTGTGAACGAGTTTCTTTCTCCTGTTAGTCTCTACCTCACCTCTTGATTATCACCCACCCCCATCTGTCATCCCTGAATAATACTTGCAGATACGCCAAGGCAGCAGGACAACAGCACACAGGCTTGTGAAGGTCAATTTTAGAATATACTCAAGGAAGTCTTTCTTCATAGAGAGTAATTAATGGCTGGAATGGGGTCATCAGGAAGGGTGGTGGAGGCTGGGGCGCCCAATTCACCTGATGGTGTAAAGGGGAGATGGTCGTCTCGAAGGATGAGACAACAACAACAACAAGTTGCATTTACATGGCACCCTTCATGTGGGGTAGCATCTCGGAGCGCTTGACAGTGGCGGAGTCAGGGGGAGAGGAGGTTGAAAGTGATCGTAAGCATGATCAAAAAGGAAGGTCTTTAGGTGGGATTTGAAATTGGAGAGGGAGGAGGCGAGGCAGAGGGACTGAGAGAGAAAGTTCCAGAGTTTCAGGTGGAGGCCAAATGGGCCCAGGAGATTTCTTCATTTTGTGATTTTATAAATAAGGAACTTTCAGCCTACTTTAATTTTGCTGGAACAAAATGGGAGCCACAAGATCTCAACCTGCTCCCATTCTCTTTTGCGCCACAGAGTGTGCGTGAGCCTGTATCAGACCCGCCGACGGCTTGCCCTCGCACAGACCCAGTTGCCGGCAGACGTAGCGGAGTGATCAAGTACCTGCAGTCCTGGTTCCCTGGGTGGGGTGGGTGGTACGGCTATCACCACAACCCTCAGCAGGTGGGCGAGGGCATCACCATTGAGGGCCTCACAGCCGAAGAGCAGCAGTGGAACCCCGAAGAGGTGCTCGGTACGTACAGCGAGACATTATTTAATAATGATAATAATAATACTTGCATTTGATACAGCGCCTTATCACGTCTTCGCTGTAAAGTGAATTGACTGTATATTTTGTGGGCGAAACGTGGCTGCTAGGTAAACAGATAGTGTGTGAGTAGTAAGGAAAAAAACTTAAATGCAAATGGTATTGTAATTATATTTGATCCACCAAAAGGGGCTGACGAGACCTCAGTTTAATGGTCCAATAAATGATCGAGTCTCAGTAATACACTAAAGTGTCAGCTAGCTGGCTCCACGTAGTTCCGTGCTTATATTGTGCAGACTTCCTTTTAAGAGTGCAGTGGAAAAATATTTAAGTACCAGATTGGAATTTGAATTCACACTAGACTAAAACTCCCAGTTGAGTCCGGGAGAGAGCGCCGCATTGTTGAGCCTCTTTTGGATAGGGCGGTAAACTGAGGCCCGCTCAGCCTGCACAAGGGACTTTCCCTTGGTCATCGTGCCCACCATCCTCCAGATACCTTTGGTCATTTCAATCACAGCTGTTGTGTGACTGCTGGGCACAATGGCCGACAGAGCAATCGCTACCTGCACAATAATAACACTGGAAGCTCTTTGAAAGGTTTTGTGTTATATTATATAGACACACATTCTTCTGTGTTATTAAGTAATTAACAGGATTTTGTTTGCTTTATTTTAGCTGCTGATGAGATCTTTGACCCAATGGCTGACACATCGAGTATGAACACAATCACGAGAAGGGACCACGTGTTTGCTAAGCTGAACTTCTTGCTGCAGAGTGGCACCGTGAGTCTCCTTCGACACGTGAAGGAGACCACACTGGACGTCAAAGAGGCAGCTTTCGTGGAACTGGAGTTCTCAGGTTAGCTGGCCAGAGGCTGATATATGCTTGCATAATAACCCAGTGTCTATGATTTTCACATCAGGAGGATGTCTCTCAAAGCACTTTACTGGATATACTTTGTATTTTGAAGACAAGTGCATCATTATTCAATTAAACTGCTACCACTACACCCCAAATATAAGGCGCTACCTGCCTCAATTTCTCTGGCTTGTCCCCTGTTTGGCCGTGCCTATAGTTACCTCCTTTCTGCCAGAATCGGTGTCAAAAAGTCCACCATTGTTCAGTGCTCCAAGGTGCTAACTCATATGAAAGACACTACATAGTTAGGCAAGTTTCCTTATTCCACATACCTCTGTTTACCTAGGAGTAAGTAGGAATCCGGTTGTTAGTTGATTGGTAGATCGCTTTTCCGTGCTAATAATCCTTTCGAAAAATAAATTAATAATAATAAGTTGGTCACTCAATCCATGACTGTTTGTGAGACACTCGTGTGCGCAATTGGCTGCCGCGTTTCGCTCACAAAATATACAGATAATTCATTTTACAGAATATTCTGTGAAGCGCTTTGAAACGTCTTGAAGACGTGATAAGGCGCTATATCAAATGCAAAGATTAGTAATAATAAAAATTGAATCACTAGGAATAGCCTGATGCCTTGTAAATGCAGATTCACAACATATTACTGGATATTGTAATCTGAGGGGAAGTATTTGCAATGTATTTTTAAGTCTTTTCTGTTTAGGAGTGAAGATTGGAGTGGAGTCTTCGCCTCGCACAGAATCCACTCTGTTCTCAGTCCAGCTAGGTGGTCTGTTTCTGCGAGATTTGGCAACACAGGGAACATTATTCCCTGTTCTTGTCTCTCCCAAGCCGGTGAGTTCTGATGTACAATAAAGCTCAACTGTATTCATTTATCAACCATAGTTTCTGCCATTTCGCCCAAATATATAGTAAATTCACTTGACAGTATATTCTGTGAAGCGCTTTAAGACTCATGGAGTCCTGTAGCTCAGTGGTTAGAGCACTCGCTTTGCAAGTGAGAGACCTGAGTTCAATTCCAGGCAGAGGGTGAAACCTTGGGCAAGTTTCCTTACTCCACACAGAGCCTAATAATAATCCCTCCAAAACAAAAAAAATAATAAAATTGGTCATTTTCAATTACAATTGTTTGTGGGACATTGCTATGCGCAATTGGCTGCCGCGTTCACCCACAAATTCACTTTACAGTATATTCTGTGAAGCGCTTTGAGACATCTAGAAGACGTGAAAAGCGCTATATCAAATGCAAGGATTATTATTATTATTAAGACGTCTCAAAGAAGTCACTCCGAGTGATTGACCGGGAATCCTAAATTTCTGTTTCTCTTCTGGGCTGACCAGATGGATTGCCTGCAATAGTCTTTTTCAGTCCTGTACATTCAAGGTTTAGTGCTTTCCGTCGTCTCTGCCCTCCCCTCGGGTGCCCAGTCAGCCACGTCAAGCGCTTTGAGACATCCTCTAGATGGATGTGAAAGGTGCTGTAGAAATGTCATTTGTATGTAAATATATTGCAATGTTCTGTTCTGTTTTGAAAGGAAAAGGATGCTGGGAGCTTATCACAAACCCTGGGTCTGCACACTGCTTCAGCTGAGACTCCCAGTCCCAACCCAGGTGAGGCATAGTGTCAGGCCATTTCGATTTCTTTTGTAGATAAATCTCTTGCACTTGTTGATTACTGTTTACTCAGTTACCTGTCATAATTGTTTCGAGGATGTACAGGAAGTATTTTAGATTGCTTTCATTTCCTTGTCCTGTGTTCTGGCTTCTGGTTCTCCAGGCAAGATGCCTCCTGTCTTCGAAATGATTTACGAGAAGAATCCAGTGCGGAGTAATTATGAGAGGAGGCTGGAAGTCAGCACTCGACCCCTCAATATTATCTACAACCCCCAGGCGATCAAGAAGGTGGCTGACTTCTTCTACAAGGGCAAAGCGCATTCCGCAGGTCAGGAGACGGGAGAGAAAGTGGAAAGAAACTCATAGGGACCTTTATTTCCAGATAATCAACCCTTCCTCAATTGAGTCGTCAACTCAAACAGTCTGTCGCACACTCTAATTCAGTGATGCGAGTGTGCTGTTAGTGGTGCTGTCCTTTTATTGAGATACTAAACTCACGTCCTGTCTGCTTATTCAGGTGAACAGCAAAGATCCCATGGCACTATTTGAAAAGAGAAGGGAATTTCTCCCGGTGTCCTGGCCAACAATTAAATTGTGCACCCCAAAATATAGTCAATTCATTTCACAGTATATTCTGTAAAGCTCTTTGAGACGTCTCAAAGATGTGATAAAGCACTATATCAAATGCAAGAATTATTATTCACTTGATGGCTGTTTGTGTGCCAATTGGCTGATGCGTTCACCTACACGCTACAGTGTACTTTCCAGGGAAGTACTTTTGAGAGTTCTCCCGATGTAAATGGCACTAGATCAAATGCAAGGATTGTTAGTATCAATTTCTATCTATCTGTCTTGTGATTTCAGATGGACGTGAATTTATGTGACTGAATGATGTGAACCTAGATGGGACATTTACTGGGGCAACTTAGCTTTCGCCGTTGCTGCATTAACGTTAACTTTTCTAATTCATCTCGTTCTGTGAAATACTTTGAGCGATTTCCTTTACATGAAGGACACTTTATTGATGTCAGTAATTGCTTTCCTGAAACTTCAGATTCCTCTCACTCAGACCTTAAGATTTCATATTTAAGATTGTGCAGAAATTTGGAAAATTCTGAACTTAAGTCTTAATTTGGAAATCTTTAAAGTGCCTCAGAAATCCAAAAGTGCCAGTTCCCTTAGATATTTGTCCTGTCTCTCTCTCCGCCACACAGTGCCAGTTCCTTAGATAGCTGTCCCATCTCTTATCCCCGACACAGTGCAGGCACCTAATATATAATTTTCTCTCTGTCTCCACAGTACTACTGTCTCTCCCTTACGAGAGGCTAGTTATCCAGCTTGCAGGTATTGGGTGCCTGTCTGAATGTTACAACACAGAAAGCAAAGAAGTTTCCTGGCTGTTAGGGAACATAATCTTCTGACAGTTCCTCCAGTTAAATCAATTTAAATGAAATTTATAGAATAGAACAACTAGAATGGGAAAGCAGTGTTTGCTGGGTTTTTTTGCATTTAAAATAATAATATCCTTGCATTTGATATGCCGTCTTATCACATCTTCGAGATGTCTCAAAGTCCTTCACAGAACATACTTTAACCTGAATTAACTGTGTATTTCGTGTCTGAAATTTGTAAGGAAACAAGAGTTTTAAAGTAATGGTGTACATGGTGACCGGCAATGAATGGCATCATTCTAAAGTGATTTGTCCCTCTCTCTGACTACAGGCTTTGCGTATCAGTCGGAGCTTGAGCTACGGGTGGCAGAGGCTGCCAGGAGACAATACAACAAACTGAAAATGCAGACAAAGGCTGAGATCAGGCAAACCATTGACCAGTTGCTGGAGGGAGAGTTCATTGTAAGTTTGACAGCCATTCTGTAAAATTCTTGTGTTGCGTCGCTTTCATTTTTCTTAAAAGAATATGGTGTGATTTTCTGGTGGAAAGTAATTGAAATACTAGGTTTCATCCACAAGAGGCCATCAGTGGCTTACGTAAAGAGCAACAGCAAACTAGTGTAATGAGCTCCCAATTGGCTGAGGGCCCAACCTGCTTTACGCCTAAGTTGTACAGTTGACATTTACAACAAAGTAGATACTTGATCCCCGATCTATGGAAATTGGTATCTCCTAGACTTGTAGGGTCTCAGCTAGACTTTTCCTGCCCTCTGGGTCAGAAAGAAGCCTGTGGGTCACACCTTCACTTCTGGACCTGATTCTTCGAGCCAGCTTGTACTGGGGAATTGTAGAAGGAGGCCATTCAGCCCATTGAGTCTGTATCAGCTGTGCGAGCAAGTTGCACTTTCAATCTCGCTACCCTGCCCTATCCCCACACCCCCTCTCAAGCCTCTGTCCTTCATGTCCTTGTCTACTTCCCTCTTGAAACCCACAATGGACTCTGCCTCTACTAGCTTAGTCGTAGTTCCATGATCCAATAAATCTTCTTTTGCTCTTATATTTATGTCCCATAATCACTGACTCTCGTACCAGTAGAAATACTTTCTCCCTATTTAACATGTCAAAATCCCTTATCATCTTGTACACCTTTATCGGGTCCCCTTTCAACCTTTCCCATCCAATAAAAAGAAACCCAACTTCTCCAATCTGTCCTCATAACTATAACTCCTCATCACTGGTATCTCATAAGCCACCTCGGTAACCCCTCTAAAGCCTTAACATCCGAAAGCAATATTAAACCAAGATCTGCTCTTTTGTGGGTAATGGAGATCACATGACAGAAAGGACGTTTTTCTCAACCAACAATCCTCTAGATAAATTGATCATTTACCTCACAGCTGTTTGTAGAATTTGGGTGTGTGAAAAATGGCTGCTGTATTTGCCTACAGTAATAATTACTATAAATTACTCTGAGATGTTTTGTGAGATATAAGAATAGAGTTTCTTCTTTCTACAGCTTTTTCATAAGGGTTTCAAGTACAAGATCTAAAATCTGATCCAAAGATCTGCAAATAGTGTAAACTTTTAATTTTGCTTCCTACAGGAGAAGGATAAACGCTGGCTTATGAAGTTGGACATCTCTGCTCCTCAGGTGATCTTCCCAGACGATTTCAAATCCCCAGATTCTGTACTAGTCGTCATGGATCTCGGACGAATACTGCTGACAAATTTGCAAGGTAATTTCCCTAAAAGTTCTTCCCAAAAATCTTTAGTTTCTCCTTTAGTGCTGTAGGGCAGATCATGGTTTAATATCGCTCTGGAAATCCATCCCCCAGTCACGCCGCCTCACCCCTCGTTAGCCTCCTTCAAATCCACCTCAAGACCCTCTTTAACCATGCCATTGGCCACCCCCCTTCTCCTCCCTCTCCCCCCTGACCCCAGCTCAGGTCTGAAATGCTGTATTCTGTCCAGCGCCTTGGGACGTCCACCCGACGTGAAAGGCGCTATACACATGTAATCTTGTTGTTGTTTCGTTGTAATAGCTCATGCCAGTGTCGTTGCTGTCTTAGGAACGTTATGCAGTGTGAAGGGCACCATGTAAATGCAAGTCGCTGTTGTTTTACACAGCTTTTAAATAATAAGCCAGGCTCTAGAGGCAAGTCGTAAAGCACCTAGTATTCCTGACTCTGGATCTGGGAAGATCCAACCTCAACCAGATCACCTGATTCCTCCGCTTCTAGTGAAAGATGGCGGAGTCAGAGCAAGTTGACCCATTAGTGAACTTCTTGATCTCTTTACACAAGTATCACGGTGATAGCCACACGCACATAACACCGAATTACCCTATAGCAGAAATGCAAAAAAGCCATGTGCCAAGACCCCTAGATTTTCAGATGTTAGCAACTTTGGAAGTTTTTTTTCTGCCTTCCCACCCCATTCATCTTCCCCCATTGTCTTACAATGAAATCATCTGGCCCTCATGTCTTCCTGTCCTCTTTGCAGAGGAATCCAAAGTTAAAGCCAAAACCAGGCTGTCATTGAAAGAAGATGAATTCAGTGATGATGAATACCAGACCCCGCTCGCCACACCACCCAACACGCCTCCCCCCGAGCCCACCGCCAAGACTCCCAACATTGTTGGCATAGGTTTCACTGAGGAGCAGCTTCAGGAACGCTTTCTCAACAATAAGCTTTACGAGAAATACTCGCTATCCTTCATGGACATGCAGATTATGGTCGGGCGAGTGAAGGACAATTGGAAGCACGCTCAAGATAGCGAGGTTGGGCCAACGCATGTTGTGGAGAAGTTTAACGTGCTGCTGCAACTAGAACGGAGATTAATGTACACCTCAGATCCAAACCGCCCCAGCGCCATGCTATCGGGGACTCTGCCCGATCTCAAAATCCACGTAAACGAAGACAAAATCGTAGCTTTGAGCAACTTTTTGTCCAGGATGACAACGGCCGAGACGCCGCAGACCTGGGCAGAGCCGCAATCGTTGAGGCGAGAAAAGATCTTCACTAAAGAGGGGCGTCAGGGAAAGCTGCTGGACTCCAGGATGAGCCTGACTCAGAGCGTGATAGCTCTCGAGCAGCACACCCGAGAGATGCTGGTGGAATCCAAGCTACTGCTGGCCGAGTTCAGAGTAAACTACATGCAACTGGGGGTGGAGAGCTGCGGTCGGTACATCTCGGTGCTGAAGGTCTTTGGCATCAACTCCAACTTTGTGAAGAGGCCCTACGACACAGAGGTGACGCTGACCGTACATGGGCTGCTCCTGGTGGACACCGTCCAGACGTACGGCTCTGACTTTGACCTGCTCATGGCATCCCACAAGAACCTGAGTTTCGACGTTCCCACCGGAAGCCTCCGGGATAGCGGGCCGCAGTCTCCCGCCTCCCCTCTCCTGTCCCCTTTCCCTTTGCTCAATACGGTGCTCAACAACACCATCTCGCCGGATAAGAGCAAATCCTCCCAGTTGCCAGGTGAACAGGTCCCTTCAGTATTTTTTGCTCAGGACCAAGATGTCCTGATCAAACTGGAATACCAGTTTGTGAGCTCCGACTGTCCTTCCATGAACCTTGACAGTTCTCTGCAGGTCATGTCCCTGCAGGTCAATAACTTGGACATCATCCTCAACCCAGAAACCATGGTGGAACTCATCGGCTTCCTACAGAAGTCATTTCCCAAGGGGAAAGAGGATGCAAGTCCTCAGCCACTATTGAATGATGCGGAAATGGATTTTGGGGACAAGGAATCCATTCAGTCCACCTATGATCAGAACACTGAGGTGGCCGTTGAAATCCATCGGCTTAACGTACTGCTCCTCCGGACCGTGAGGTTATCAAGCGGTGAGAAATTAGGGCGGAAGATCGCAACCGCGAGCATCAACGGCACCAAGGTCAACGTGTCTATGGGTAGCCGGTTCGAGGTCAATGGATCTCTCGGCTGCCTCCAGCTGGTGGACTTGACCCAGGATGATGTGAAGAACCACTTTGTGGTGAGCATTGGGAACACCCAAGCCTACGAGACTGTCAGCGACTTTGGTTTCTTTGGGCCTGTCTTCATGAGACCCGAGAGCGAAGGGAATCTCAGTGAAGCACTGAGCTTTAAGCTGCTCGAGAAATCCCAAGAGGAATTCTCGCTGAATCTGCACATGGCATCTTTGCATTACAACCATTCGCCCAAGTTCCTGAAGGAGCTCAGCTTGTCCATGGACGAGCTGGAGGACAACTTCCAGAACATGCTGAAGAGCGCGGCTTCCAAAGTCTCCACCGTCCTGGTGAACAAGACAGCAGAGTACAGTGAGATGGTCATGCTCTTCGAGCTGCCGCGGAGGTCCCGGGAGATGTTCACCTTTGATTACGGTGAAGAACTGACTTCTGGGATGGAATCCCCGCGGCAGAAACCAATCAAGCTCATCTTAAACATCAACATCGAGTCGCCGGTGGTCGCTATCCCACGGAGGCCAGGCAGCTCAGAGCTGCTGGTGGGTCATCTGGGCCGAACGTCCATCCAGAACTTTGTGACGGGTGAGGACGACTCTGAAAGGGATCGGCTACAGGTGGAAATCAAAGATATCAAGCTCTACTCTCTGAACAGCAGCACTCTAGGTGGGCCCCGTGGCTCCAGGGGAGACGGCAGTGAATCGTCACGGCCAGGCTCGGGATCTGCCAGCATCTCCAGCCAGGAGGAGGTCCACTTCACCCGACAAGACTTCTTTGAATCCGTACACAAGGGTCAGGGTCAGTTCTAAGAGGAAACATTCGATAACTTAGTGACAGCTTGGCTCAGTCGGTCACTCTCCAAGTTCATCTTTGTCTGAGAAGGGTGTGTGGATTCCAACCCATGTTGGGAATTTGCGGGTCCACAGTACTCCAGCTGATGACACCACAGCCAGTCTGGCTCATCAGCAGGACCTAGAAGGGCAGATCAGCCACTGAGGACAGGGAGTCATGTTAACCATGCAAGCTCCTGTTAACCATGCAAGCCAAAGCCCTAGCTAGACCAGCAGCAAAAAAGCTTGCCAGACAGCAATATCAATGGCAACCTATAGTTTTTCGCTGGTTAGACTCCAGCAGTTACCCCATCGCACACTCTGGGGTTCCCAAGCCTTGGCACTTGCCAACCTGCGCCTAGATTTTGTAGAATTAGGTAAGCAGGATACGTCCCTCCAGGGAGAGAGAGAGTGTGTGTGTGTTCCATTCCAACAATCTCTCTATGGGATTTCCATGTGTAATTGGGATGCATGGAATTCTCAGCTTGGTTTGGATACTCTTAAGCATGCTGATGAGTTTCCGAATGTGTCAGATTCCCGGCTGACCATATGTAAAAAAAAACGCTCTGAGACGCTATTCCATGTGAAAGGCGCCATCTAAATGCTATATAAAAGTTGTTGTTGTTAAACTGAGGTCCCATCTGCCTGTTCAAGTGGACGTTCAAAATCCAAAAAGAGAAGGGAGTTTTCCCGGTGTCCTGGCCAACAATCCTCCAAATCAATTGGTCATTCACTTCATGGATGGTTGTGTGACCTTGCTGAGCACACAGTGGCTTCCACATTTACCTACAAAAATTACATTAATTACTATAAAGCTATTTGAAGACATGATTGTAAGGTGCTACGAACACTTATTCATTGTTAATTTTCTAGCCTTTCACATCCTGAACAACACTACAATCCAATTTATCTTGGAAAAAATTCCACTGGAGTTGGATCAACATCTATCCTTCCCAAGTCTGAGCTCTCCTGACTCCTATGAGACCACCAGTAAAATGAAGATCGAGGGGAAGTTCGTCAATCCTCTTAAGGTGAAGCAACAACATTCTGTTCTACAGATTGGGGCCAGGGTCAGAAGAGCTCCCAAGTGGAGGTACATGGCACAGCACTGGGCTTTGTGCAGTCATTTAGCCCGGGAGAAAAGGTTGTTCAAAAAGGATTGCATTTCCCCATTGTCTGCAGTGTGTGTAGAGCAGAAGGATTAGGAGAGACATTGAAAGGAATTTCTTCACACCCTGTTTTTAAGTTGGGGTCTTAAATTCATCATCGCCTGCAGCTATAGAAACATTCAAATGGGAAACTAAATAAACAGCCTAAAATATTAAGTGATATGAGGGAAGGAGGTGGGAAATTAGATTAACTTAAAGATAGGAATTAGAAAAACAGGAAGCAGGGGCCCAGGCAGGAAAGGCTGAATGGTTGAGAATTTTGATGGTTCTATTATTTTTCCGATGCATGCCAATGGGCCTTTCCCTGAGTGCTTCATTGGGGATGATACTCAATCGGTGCTGACACTCCAGTGCAATACTCAGGGAGCCACTGCATTTTCCATCGGAGAATACATTCAACCAAGGTCCCTCTGACTGCTCAATTCCCTATCTTAATTGTTCCCCTAAGGTAGGGCATTGCACTGGAGAGTGTCAGCACCGACCATTTTCACCAGCACGCCTCAAGGAAATGGCTGCTAAATTTGTCTTCATAAACGCTGACTACACTTGAGTTTTAATAATCTCTGTGTTTGTTTTCCCTTTGTTGTTTGCAGGTGACGTTTGCAAAGCACGTTTATGAGCAGGTGCTGCAGACATTGGATAACCTGACGTACAGTGAGGAGCTCAGCAAAATGCCACACAGCTCGGCTGCTGCCACGCCAGACCCGCTCAGCACCTCCTCAGCACTGAGAAGCCCCAAATTCTCGGACCTCCAGCGGGAGTGGAAAGAGAGCGGGCTCTTCGGCCGAGTCAGTTACCCATCGACGCCGGTCGACTCGTTCCCAATCCCAGAGTCCAGATCCTTCACCCAGATTCAAGCCAACTTCTGCATCCCGGAGCTACAAGTGCAGCTGTGCGGAGATCTGACCCTGGGAGCTCAAGGCCTGATTAGTTTAGTGTTCCAGGACTTTGAAGTGGAATTCAGTAAAGATCAGCCTCACACACTGTCCATTCAGATCGCCTTGCGTTCCCTGCTGATGGAGGACTTGCTGGAAAAGAACCCCAACTCTAAACACAAGCGTCTCATGGTGTCACGAGGGGCCCCCAAAGCGTCCAGCTTCACCCACAAAGAATACCTCTCACAGTCCTGCCCGTCCACCTCCAACGCCAGGTACCCAGAGATGCCACGTTCCCTGCCAGCCCACGTAGAGGAGGTGCAGAATGTCTTCCAGTTCTACCAGAGACCAACGTCCACAACCCGGCGGAAGCCAAAGGAAGAGCAGGACGATTACCCCTTAACCCCGCCACCTTCCCCCACCTCGAGGAGCTCCAGGGCCCCCGGCAACCCAACCAACTTTGACGATTCGCTCGTCCACATCAACATGTTCCTGGTGGACAGGAAGCACCCAGAATTTGCCTCACGCTACGGCAGGATCAACCGCAACGTGGACGTGGACTTCAACTGCCTGGACGTACTGATCACTCTGCAGACCTGGGTGATGATCCTCGATTTCTTTGGCATCGGCTCAACGGCCAACAACCACGCAGTGAAGCTGCCCGCTGAGGAGCTGCACCAACTCAGCAAGTCAGAGGCCAGCCACGTCCTGCCAGCCCCAGGCCAGGAGCCCAGCAACACCAAACTGGACTTGAAGGTTTGAAGCTTTTTTTGTTCTTAAAAAAAAGTGAAACGTGATTGGATTCTATTCCAGTGTGCGTGAAGTCACAGTGTCAGGCAGCAATAAACGGGGCTAATGACAAGCTGAGCTGCATTGCTCTGTTAGGTGAATCTTGTTGCCTCTCTCTCTCCCAAACTCATGCTCGTGCTGTGTAGGTTGGTCAGGATGCACCTGCAGTGCCGTGTGCAGGTTTGGTCTCTGTGGCTTCAGGGCCTGTTGCAGATTGATTTCAAGATCTTCACACTCTCTGGCACCTCCCGATGTCTCACACCTGCTTACATCCCACTCTTCTACCCGCCACCACCTGTGCTCAGCTGTCTCCAGCCTCCTGCATGCCCCTCGCCCTCTCCCCTCCACCATTAGTGGCTGTGCTTTCTGAAGACCTTCCTCTTCCAATGGGCCTACTTCACCTCCCCTCTTTCCCTGGTTGGGCATCAAACGCCACTGTCAAGCGCTCCGAGATACTGCCCCGCATGAAGGGCACTACACAAATGCAAGTTGTTGTTGTTTTGCCACTGACTTCTTGCTTAACTTTGAATGTATAAAACAAAGAGCTGTAATTAAGTTTTATGAGCGGAGACTTTAAAATCGCACGGTTAGAAAATTTATCTGATGATCAAAGTGAGGTTCTGAGCATCAGGAAATGTCCAACGCCTTGGGATGTCCTCCTGACGTGAAAGGCGCTATACAAATGTAATCTTGTTGTAAAGAGGCTTGTGGGGGGGAAGGGTGGTGTTTGGTGTGCCAACAAACTCCACAATTTCCTCAGGTTAGAATTTATTAAAAAGCCAGTCAATTTGAGGCTAGGACAGTTTGATCTTGTCATTGCTGCTTGTTCACGCTGAGTATAATTAGAGCAATTTGCTCAGTGTGATTGCCTGGGGTTCGCTCAGGGTGACTGTAGTTCATATGTCACTCCTGTTCTTGCTCACACTTGCTGTACAGTGATGTGATGGCTCTCCCTCCAGGTTCACTCGCTGTCTCTGGTGCTGAACAAAAAGACAAATGAAATTGCCAAAGCCAATGTGTCCAAGCTTGCCGCGCACCTGGACTTGATTGGTGAGTTTTGATCCGCGTCTCTCATTCCCTGTTTGCTTCCTAGTGAATTTAAATGTCGAGTTAATGTGTCCATCCGGGGCTGACATAATTCTTCCTTAATACAAACTAATTTGACTGTTTATGTCATTGTTTCGCATTGAGGCTTTGTACAGTTGTACCATTATATCTCATTGGTGCAGATCAACTGCACGTTTTGGTTCATTCCTAATGAATCTCAATCTGCATAACACTTTGGGACATTTCTTTGAAATGAAAGGCACTGTGTAAATGTAAGTTCTTGAGTGTAATTACCTATAGGCAAGAAGGCTTGATAGGCCTGGCTGTGAAGATAAATGCATCTTTGAGAAGATGTAAATTGGTGTCAGCTTGGCTCAGTGGTAACTCTCTCGCCTCTGAGTCAGAAGGTTGCTGTTTCAAGCCCCACGTGAGGACTTTGAGCTCACAGTCTCGGCTGACAGTTCATTACAGTGCTGGGGAAACACTGCATAGTCAGAGGTCCCGGCCATCCTTTGATGAGATGTTAAACTGAGGTCTCGCTAAGTGGCAGACTGACTCCTCAAAAGAACTCGGGATTGTTATAGGAAAAGGGTGGGAGGCATCTATTCGTGGGGTGGGGGGGGTGAGGGTCAGCGAGAAAGCATAAAACAAGGCACAAATGCCTTCCCCGCCTACCATAGAGGTATTACCCGAACCCTGGCTTGCGGTGAGGGTGTGCACAGCGGCAGATTGCGAGCACAGTTATCATCCTCTTGGCGGCGATGGCAGCAGCTTTCCTCTCCTCCAGGCTCCTGGTTATCACCCCACGTGCCAAGTCCCGGTGCGGAGCGTGTCTGTGCAGGGAGAGGGGTAGCAACATCTGCGCCTGTGCTAGGCCAGACTGCCCCATTTGGACCTGGGCGTAAGTGCCTATAATGCCGATGTGACGACTGTGCCAAGGGTAAGTGTGTGTGTCACTCGATTCCTGGGGACCCCGTCAATGACAGCTATTTTCACGAGGCTCTCGGGCAGCGGGGGGCACTTACCATACCAAATAGCCAGCACCCCCACCGTCCTGTCTGCCTGTTTAGGTGGATGTTAAAGATCCCATGGTTTGGAATGGGAAGCAGGTTTTTAGCGACAATTTGGCTGATAGTCCCCCGTCTAAAATTGATTATTCATTTTGTGGCTTTGTGTGGGACAGATAGTAGGTGTGCATCTACAAATATACAATTACTTCCCTTTACTGTCTCTGGTGCTGCACAAAAAGACAAATGAAATTGCCAAAGCCAATGTGTCGAAGCTTGTAGCGTACCTCAACCTGATTGGCCTTCTGAACTGTGTCTTTGTCATTCCCTCTTTGCTTCCGAGTGAATTTAAATGTTGGGTTAATGTACCCGTGCGGGCTGATATTACTCTAACTTAATTCCTTTACTGTGGATCCTATCAAGCATTTGGAGATGTTTTGATGACCTGATTTTCAAATGCAATGGTTATTTTCATGTAAAAAGGCTCATTGAATTATGCCACTAGGGGTCGCTAGAGGCCTGCTAGAATTTCTTCTCCCGATGTGAGTGGGTTGCATCGTTTTGCCTTTATTCTAAGGTTATTGAATTGTTAAACTGTAAATGAGCAACATATCCAGGGTGGATAAGAACTGGAACTAAGTGTTTTGTGGACGTTTCGGCCGTAGTATACAGACAATTCACTTCACAGTATGTTCTGTGAAGCGCTTTGAGACGTCTTGAAGATGTGATAAGGCTCTATATCAAATACAAGGATTATTAATATTATAACGAGAATTGTTTGTATAATTTATAAAAATATCTCCCATGTGCAGCTCAAACACTATCCATTAGACCCAGCATGTCCACACTTGCGAAAGGATCATAGAGTTTACTCATTACATTACAGAATTCAGGGGCTGGTGGGGGAGTACTGGAGGGAATGCAGGAGATTCTGTAGATGCAGAAGGATATTTGACAAACTATTGGAGCACAACTGGAGAGCACAGGTTTAAATGATTAAGCTTTGAGCAGATCTTGAGATTAGAAGCTTTTTTTTCCTTGCAGAGAATATGTGGCAACACACAATCTGCCAAGCTGTCCGTGCTCCCATCAATGAACCCTTTCAAATGGTATTTGGATACGTGTCTGCCTGAGAAAAGGATTAGATAATATAAAGCGAGATGCAGATTAAAATGCAGATTCTGTACTGGGGCAGGAGACACGGAGGAAAGCTTGTAAAACCTTTACCCTCACAGAAGTAGAGAGAATGGATACTAAAAAGTCACACAATAATGGGAATTCATGCCATTCAAATAGGCTGATTGAAGATTATGATAATGATCCCTATAATTGATATGTCACCTGTAATATCGAAAGGTCTCCCAAGCCACAATCCTCTCATTGCCTTGGGACATCCTCCCAATATGAAAGGCTTTGGAAATGCAACTTGTGGTTTCAAGGATCTTCACAGGCAATTGCTGTCAGATGTAATGATTGTGTATTTATAGGTATTTTATGGACAAGGTCCAACAAACAGCTCTGAAATGAATGACTAGTTTTTGAAGGATTGTTGGCCAGAATACTGCGAGAAGATTCCTTCTCTTTCCAAATAGTGCCATGGGATCTTTCGTGACCACCTGGACAGGCAGATAGGACGTTGGTTTAACGTCTCATGCGAAGGACGGCATCTCTGACAATGCAGTGCTCCCCCCAGCACTGTGCTGGTGCGTCAACATCTGAGCTCAATGTCCCAATGTCTGGAATTAATTACTGATATTACACAAACTTACCGTCTCCCTGTGTGTTTGTGCTGATTGTGATTGAACTGTCTCCTTGTTCTACAGATGGGGACTTTGCCCTGCAGGGAAGCCTGGGGAGCCTTTCACTCAGTGACCTGACCCCTCATGGCGAGCTGTACAGAGAACGCTTCACCACCAGCGGCAAGGAGGCTCTCGTGTTTGACATTTACAAGTGCGTATTTAGTACTTCCAGGATTACAATGTCACCCAGTGACTTCCTGCCCAGGTTCCCTGCAGTGGAAAGGATGGAAAAACTATGATGGTTGAGCATCTCTTTTTCAATGGAAACTAAAAAAATTACAAAGACAAGTGGAAGGCGCACTCCCATTCGTGAAAAGGAGTTTTGTCTCATTCTTTTCTTTAGCTCAGTGGTTAGAGCGCTCGCTTCACAAGCGAGAGACCTGGGTTCAATTCCCAGCAGGGTGAAACCTTGGGCAAGTTTCCTTACTCCGCACACCTAATAATAATCGCTCAAGAAAAAAAGAATAATAATTTGGTCACTCAATCCACCACTGTTTGTGGGACGCTGCTGTGCGCAATTGGCTTCTGCATTTCGGCCACAAAAATGCAGTCAATTCACTTTACAGTATATTTCTGTGAAGCGCTTTGAGACGTCTTGAAGACATGAAAAGTGCTATATCACATTCAAGGATTATTATTAATAAAAAGGCCAGGTTGGTTCGGAATGAGGCAATCCTGCCTAAGGGCCTGTGTGTTTAGTTATAAGCCAGTTTTCCATTAACTGTCAGTGAAAGGCTAGCTACGTGTCTGCAGCTCTCACAGTATAACGTCATAAAGCTTTATCGTGGGATCTGACTGTACTGAGCCTACCTTGAGCACCCCTATCACGCCACCCCTTACTCTCTCAACTCTTGTTTAAAAATAGGACCCATCTCCTTCAGTCTTCTTAATTAAAGCCCTTGTCCCTAGTAAAATCCTAGTGAATGCATCCTGCACCACTGACCTATAACTATGACTTGTAATCCAATTTCAATTCAGCTCCCTTTGTGCTAGGTGTAAATGGAGTCTGACATCTAGGGATCTTTGCGTGTTATTCAGCAATGGAGAGCAGTTCTTTACTTGAACCCAGGTACGGCAAAGCGGATGCCAAGCTGAAGCGGGAGTGTGACGTGCGGGTGAGTCTTCAGATGGCGTCAGTACAGTATGTCCACACCCAGCGTTTCCAGGCCGAGGTGGTGGCTTTCATTCAGCACTTCACACAGCTACAGGACGTGCTGGGACGGCAGAGAGCTGCCAGCGAGGGACAAGCGGTAAGTTTGTTTTATTATAATAATAATAATCCTTGCATTTGATGTAGCAGCTTATCACGTCTTCGAGACGTCTCAAGGATACACTGTAAAGTGAATTGACTGTATGGTTTGTGGGCGAAATGCGGCAGCAAATTGCCTGAAGACCTTCCTGTTCAATCTTGCCTAAGGTCACCTCCCCCTGCTCCCAGCTCAGCATCATGCCCCGTCACTATCAAGCACTCTAGGACTCTTCCCTGCATGAGTGCCACTATATAAATGCAAATTGTTGTTGTTACCACCACTGAAGGCTGAGATCTGAGAGCCAGAAACCGACTACCTATTTTTTCAGTCCTTTCATTTGTTCTTGAACAATGGGTAACAACTTCATAAGTTTAGGTCTGGTGAAGACCCTGTGGCCCCATCTGACCTCATTCTTCCAGAATAGCTGCTCTACATCACAGCATTAAACTGCTTTTTAAATAAGTCTAGTGCCCTGGCTTCAACCACTGTTCTTGGCAACACAATCCAATTGTTAATTAGCCTCTGAGTAAAATACTTCCTGGAGTCCATCCTGAAATCTCCATTTGGCGTTTATATATCCTGGTCAGTCACACTGCCACCTCGCAGTCAGAAGTTTGTGCATTCAAGCCCCTTATTGTTGGACTTGAGCTCATGGCCAAGGCTGACATGCTAGTGCAGTGTTGTGGGAGGCCTGCAATTATAGCAAGGTTGTCTTTCAGATAAACTAAGGTTCTCGGGTGTTTTCAACACAACAAATTGCAATCTTTTGGACATTAATCCTCCAGATAAATCGGTCGTTCACCTCATGTTGTTTAGTGTTATCCTTGCCGAGCACAAAATGGCTGCTCTGTGTGCCTACAGAAACTGTCACTACACTTACCTTAAAGCATCTTGGGATTTTTTTATATTGTGCTCCAAAAATGTTTTTTTTATTCTATCTGTAAAATCACTTCAAATCCTTCAACTAACTTGCATTGCGTAAAACAAGTGTAATGTGTTGTGATGAGAGTGCCCGACTCCATTGGCTCCATATTCTCCCTATCCAGTTCAAGATCCTGGTCCTCACATACAAACCCTCCATGGCCTTTCTCCACCCTACCTCTGCGACCTCCTTACCCCCTACCAACCCGCCCATTCCCTCCGCTCGCTCCACGTCCCCCAACCCACCTGCCCCACCATTGGCGGGAGAGCCTTCAGCCACTCTGCCCCCAACCTCTGGAATTCCATCCCCCAGTCACTCCGGCTCTTCCCCTCCTTAGCCTCCTTCAAGTCCCACCTCAAGACCCTCCTCTTCGACCATGCCATCCGCCACCCCTCTTCCCCCCGAACCCAGCTCGGGTCTGAAATGCTGTACTCTGTCCAGCGCCTTGGGACGTCCTCCCGACGTAAAAGGCGCTATATAAATGTAATCTTGTTGTTGTTGCATCTACAGTTTAATGTCACTCATTCCAGGGCTGTTTGTGAGACGTTGCTGTGTATAAATTGGCTGCTGCGTTTGCCCACAAAATGCACACAGTTGCATGACTTTACAATATATTCTGTGAAGCGCTTTGACGCTATGATAAGGCACAATATCAAATGCAAGGATTATGATTATATTATAAAGTTTGGCAAAGCAAACTGCACTCCCAAAGGATTAATGGTTAACAGTAAAACTTTCATAGAACCATAGAAATGTACAGCACAGAAAGCCATTCGACATATTGTGTCTGGTCTGCTCTTTGAACGAGCAATCCATTCAATCCAATTTACCTACCCTTTTCCCTACTTCTGCGCAAATGACTCATTTTCAGATTTCTTTCTTGTTCCCTCTTGAAAGTTATGAGGGATCCAGCATCCATCATTGCATCTGGCAGCACATTCCACAGCCTAACAGCTCTCTTGTGTAACAGCTCTGTGCAAACGGAAATCCTCCAAATCTCCACTTTTGCTCCTTTGTGAATTGTTTTAAGTTGATGCCCTCCCATCACTGATTCACCAAATAATGGAAAGAAATTCTCCTCATTGACTCTTATCAAAACCCTCATCATTTCAAGAACCTTGATCAGGTTTCCCCTCAACCTTCCAAAGCTGGAAGGCTGCCAGCTGCAAGTGATTTTGCAATGTGAATGTTTATTGTGCTGTGAGATTAGTCAGTTCTCGGTTCCATACCAGCCTCAGTCTCTGCTCCCATAAATTGTTCTGGGTCACTTCATACTCAACAGTCAAGTGGCACCAATGTGGAATTTTCCATTACAGTTGCTGGGAGTTTCACATCTGGGTGGAATTCTATGATTAAAACTAATAAGAAACCGATGGGATTCATCACTTGTGTTGAATGAGTAGACTCCCTGTACCCTTATAGGCCACTCAACACAACAATAACCATCCTAATGATTAATGTATTGGTGTATTACACCCAGCACCTAGATTTACCAAAAAGTGAATTTGGAACATAGGAACTTGATGTGGCCATTCAGCCCATTAAGCCAGTTTCATAGTTGTATTAGATAATGCGGGATCTTTTAATCCTAGTTCCCTGCCTCCTCAGCGATCACTAACTGATGGTATTGTTTCAGTGTTGTTGCTATTAACCTTTCAGTAATTTAAAACCCTCCGTTTGACCTCCTCTTCTTCACTTCTACTTTTGCCACTCAAATTGAACAAACCTCCATGATGATGATGATGATGATCCTTACATTTGATGGAGCAACTTATCACTTAGTTGAAATGTTGCAAAGCACTTCTCACAGGATTGACTGTGAAGCACTGCGGCTGTGTATTTGTGAGGGAACGTAGCAGTCAATTTGTGCACAGCAGTGCCCCGCTGCTGAAGTGAATGATCAATTTTTATCTAGCGTATAGTTGGCCAGGACGCCATGAGAAATTCCTTTCACTTTTTGAAATTCCCAGGCACAGATGGGATCTGTTTAACAACTCATTCAATGGATAGAATCTTCAACACTGCAGCATACCCCCTGCACCGTACTGTCAGCCTAGTCTGTGAGCTTAAAAATTCCAACATGGGATTTGAACCTTCTCACTCAGAGGTGAGAGTGCTACAGACTGAGCTAGGCTGACATTTGATTTTTTTTATTTAGCAGGTTCTTTGATAAGAGCCATTCACCAGCACACCCTGAGCAAGGGAACAATTTTCTAAAGAATGTCACCCAATGGAAACCCACTACCTGCCCCACCTGGGCTGCAGAACAACAATAAAGGTGTAAAGCTACTTTATTTAAAAATGTAGATCAAGTGGTTTTGTGCTGAGTGGGTGATGGATTATGGGCATCTGATACTGAAGGTTCTTAGTGGAAAGATCCTGGGCTCGAACGAATGCTGAAGCTAATTCTACTGATTAGTAGAGAGGCAGGCGTTATCACATTTGTGGAGTCCTGTAGCTCAGTGGTTAGAGCACTCGCTTTGCAAGTGAGAGACCTGAGTTCAATTCCAGGCAGAGGGCGAAACCTTGGGCAAGTTTCCTTACTCCACACAGAGCCTAATAATAATCCCTTCAAAAACCAAAAACAATAATTAATTGGTCATTTTCAATCTACGACTGTTTGTGGGACATTGCTGTGCGCAATTGGCTGCCGCGTTCGCCCACAAATATACAGTCAATTCACTTTGCAGTATGTTCTGTGAAGCGCTTTGGGACGTCCTCCCGACGTGAAAAGCGCTATATCAAATGCAAGGATTATTATTATTATTATTATTGAAGCGGACAGCTCCAGCAACCTGCTTCCTGGCGTGTCGCTTGCACGTATGTTTTTCAGGGCAGCAGTGAAGACTAAAAGATAACAGTTCACAGAATTCATAGTTTAATGACCTGAAAATTTGCTGAACAGTGCTATTGTGGATGGCAGTCCCAGCTTTAGAGACAGTGCTGTGTCAAGATCCTATGTGAAAGCATTCTTCGTGGTGCCATCCCTTAACCGCGACATCTCCAGCCTTGTTCTCCTGCCACTCCCTCTGCTCCGTACCTCCCCCCCGCTCCTCCATTCCACCATCAGTGACTGAGCCTCTATACTCCAGCTCTCTGAAGCTCTCTCACCAAATGCCTCTGCCTCCCTTCTCCCTACTTTCAAAACCTTCCTTAAAATGCTTCTTGTTCAGCCTAGCCTTGCTACCCTTGCTTGCTCAGGCATCTACGCACCCCTGTAAAGCACTTCAGAATCTTATCCTCTACACGTTCTAGAAGTTTGTTGTTGAACCAATATCCTGTCTGCCCGTTCTTAAGGTGGATATTAAAGATCTCTGGCATTTTTTGAAAAGAAAAGGGAGTTTTTTTGTTGATGTCTGCCAACAACCCTCCCAAATAATTGGCCATTAAGTAGCCTCTGTTAAGCGCTCCGAGACACTACCCCATTTATACCCCCTATAAATGCAAGTTGTTGTCATTCTGTTAAGGGGGATCTTGCCTTGTGAAAAATGGTTGCCACGTTTACTTACAGAAAACAGACACTATAACTTTCAGTAATTACTGTGAAGCACTATGAGGTACTTCTGTAGTATAAGTTGCTATAAACTTTCCAAGTATTTTTTCATCAACTAATGTAGAGGGGCCTTAAGACAACTCTCCTTTGTTTACAAATAGTAAACCTGTGGAACAGGCTCCCTAGGGAGCCGGTTGAAGCAGGAAATGTCAATTCCTTCAAATGCAGATTAGATAGTTTTCTTTTAGGAAATAACAGTATGGGATATAGACAAAGGTAGTTCAGGACATATATGCAGCCAGGAAGGTGGAAGGCGAACCAGATGGACCTTGGTCTTTTTTTCATCTAGCGTTTCTTATGTTCTTATTCTAGGTGCGAGATCGGGCTCAGAGAGCCTCCCGAATTCTCCTGGACATCGAGGCTGGAGCTCCCGTTCTCCTGATCCCGGAGAGCTCAAAGTCCAATCAGCTGATCGTGGCAAACCTCGGGAAACTGAAAGTGAAGAACCAGTTCTTGTTTGTCAGATCACCGGGTACATTCTCCTTGCGAGACAAGGTACAATACAATCACCATGGTTCATAGCTCTTTCTCTCTCCTGGTGAGATTTCCTTGTTTGTTTAAAATTTTCTTTTATTATCATCTTCTGTAATTCATTTCTCATTACCTGCTTTTGCTCGTTCTTACATTGACATTTTGGATGTGCCAGTCCGCAAACCATGTAGGAATTTTTACAATCAGGCTCCTTATCTGTGGACAAGAAGAAGTGAGATGTACAATGTTAGATAGATGGTGGTATTGAGTACTTTTGGGATCAGAAAGTTTAAAATAGCGATTTGCGCTTAGAATGAGTGTCTTGAATCACTTCAACAAGACAATGAGATCAGAGAAGATATTTGGAAATTACATAGAATATATAGCACAGAAACAGGCCATTCGGCCCAACTGGTCTATGCCAGCACTTATATTCCACATGAGCCTCCTCCTGCCCTTCCTTAACTAAGCCTATCAGCATAACCTTCTATTTCTTTCTGCCTCATGGAAATACATGGACAAAGAGCAACGTTTTGAAAGCAGGGAGAGAAGATGCAGGTCAAAGGGTTTTGGAGTGAGATTGGGTTCAAGGGAGTGAAGGAGGAGCAGTAGCTCCGAGTTAGAAGAATGGAGAGCCTGGGCAAAAAGGTCTGATCATCATTTTCTATGTACCTTACAGATCTGAGAGTTTAAATAGGTAAATGTGTAAAGTTTACACACTCAGTCCAGGGCCGGGGTTGTGGATGACTGGCACATACACAGTCATTTCAGCTTCTTATTCCCACTGAATGCCTACATCACATTTTATCAGTTTGTTTGGTCAAACGAGTATGTTTGATATTTGATTTGATGCATATTTAAACGTTTTGTTTGTTTCATTAATTTGATTTTGTTTTTCTTGAGAATCTGATTTTACATGCCAATTCCTACACGGACCCTTCATTCCTGGAGGTACAGAACAGCAGACCAGATTTGTCTTTTGAAGGTTGTGCAGAGGGTTGATGTGGTGGTGTTAGCAATCCTGTGTGTATGTGTGAGATGTGCTTCTCCTGTGCTTTTTTTTCCCCCTCAAGTGTTTCACCTATTGGAGCTTTAACATTGGATTTAAAATAATAATAATCCTTGCATTTGATATAGCGGCTTAAAACGTCTTCGAGACGTCTCAAAGCGCTTCACAGAATATATTGTAAAGTGAATTGACTGTATATTTTGTGGGCGAAACGCAGCAGCCAATTGCGCACAGCAGCGTCCCACAAACAGTCGTGGATTGTGAGACCCCTAATAAACCTCCAAATACTGTGTTGTACTCCAAATATACCCAAATATTAAAAAAAGTTAGATTGATTTAATACCATTATTGAACATATTTAGGATTTAAATTAATTTCTAGTCACTTGTGGAAAATTGGTCAGATCTGTGTTAGAAAGTCATAGGGTTCAATTTGTTTTTTCAAAAATGAATCCAAAGATATTTTAATCTTTGACTATGTTCATTTGGGGTCCAGTAAGAATTCTTCTCCCTGATAGGAGAAGAGAAGGTGAGTGGGGCCTAGCTAAGGCTGAACTGGCATTCAGGTAGGCAACAGCAATCCAACTCAGAGATGTGGACCTATACTCAACCCTGCAAAGTAAAGCCCTAATGGATAGAACTACCCCTGAAGGACAAGTAATGTGCTGTCCTTGTCCCCAATGTTTAAACTGTGGTCTTGAGATACAATCATATGTGATGGAGAGTGTGTGTTCTCAAGTCTGGTAGTGATTTTCTGGTGTGCGCATTGAAATTTTTCAACAATCATTAAGCATGTATTATAATGCATTTAGACCTTGTGAAAGTTTGTTTCTGCATGTGGAACATATCCTCTCCTACCTGCACTGACAGTCTTACCCATGCTGCATGTTTCTATCTTCTTTCCCCGCATGAAAATCACTCTACGCTGTCTGTGAATCTATGAGCTTGTTGTGCATGGCCTTTGGGTAGACCTTTTTACTGGAGTGCCATAAAGACTACCTTACAATATGCATTGCATATTGGATCACTGTGATCACGCACAAAGCTTGTTGCACTCGAGAGAAAAATTTACATAAGCCACTTATACCTGTGGTGTATGAGCAGGTTGTGTCCTGCTTTCAAGGAGCAAATGTCAGGTTTTGATATATGTTACATGTTCTAAGTATATAGAGAGCCAGTGAGGGAAAGGCACTTATCCACAGGGAAGTATAAAATGGATTACGAGTTTTCCTCTTGAGTGGTAAACTTTATACCTGAATATTCCTCATGGCATATTACAGTAATGACATGGAAAGTGTGATGTATGCAAACTAGCCTCTTATTTGATAGTTTTAATTTTTCAACTTTAGTTTGGGACAAGCTAACTCTGGGGTGTTCCTACTCTATATTCAAACATGAATCAAGCACATTTGTCCTGTTGTTGATGTTCAGTACTGAAGCCCTGTATAAACCCTCGTTTATCGAGTTGAGAGTAAAGTTAGCACAGTCCGAGAGCCTGAGGTGTTTATAAAGTATAAATGTGAAATTCCACTGCTGATTTGACATAGTGTTGCATATAATTCAATTTGTTTTGCTGAAAAAAAGACACTTTAATTTTAAATTGTAATCACATACTTCCTCCTCTTCCCCATCCTCACTTTGAAAGTCTTTCCCCTACCTTTCGATATCTTCCTGCTGTCCCTGTTTTGCTGTTAAGCCTGACAAATGTTTTGTAGCCAGGTGCAAGTTAACAGGTCTGTTTTTGGAAGTGTTCTGCCATTTCTCCTACATTCTTCTGATACACTTGACATTTGTAGTTGAAAAGATAAGAGCAATATTGTGCTAAGCCTCTTCCCAATGCCATTGCTAAGATACTCACCAGAAACCATGTGAAATTGACCAACATAAGAATTAGGAGCAGGAGTAGGCCATTCGGCCCCTCAAGCCTGTACCCCGTCATTTGATAAGATCATGGCTGATCTTCAGACCTAACTCTAATTACCTGCCGTATCCCCATATCCCCCAATCCCTCTATTTTTTAAAATTCTATCAGTCTCAGCCTTGAAGATCTTCAAGGATTGACATCTACGGCCTTCTGGGGGAGTGAATTCCATAAATTCACTGCCCTCTGAGTGAAGAAATGTTTCCTCAACTCTGTTCTAAAAGGCTGACCCTTAATTTTCAGACTGTGACCCCTGGTTATAGATTCTCCCACCGGGGAAACAGACCCTCAGTGTCTACTTTATCAGCCCTTTAAGAATCTTATATGTTTCAATTCAATTCTTCTGTACTCTAGAGAATACAGCCCCAGTTTATTCAGCCTATCCTCGTAAGTCAGTCCCCTCATCCCAGGAACTAACCGAGTGAATCTACGCTGCACCCCCTCGAGGGCAAGTATGTCCTTTTTTAAATAAGGAAACCAAACTGCACACAATACTCTCGGTGCGGTCTCACCAAGGCCCTATACAGTAGCAGCAAGACTTCCCTACTCTTGTACTCTAAACCTTTTGCAATGAACGCTAACGTGCCGTTCGCCTTCTTAGTTGCTGCTGCACTGCAAACTAACTTTTTGAGACTGGTGTACAAGGACACCTAATTCCCTCTGAACACTAACATTATCTAATCTCTCCCCCTCTAGAAAATAATCTGTTTTTCTATTTTTCTACCTCGGTGAATAACTTCACACTTCCCCACATTAAATTCCATCTGCCACCTACTCGCCCACCCCCCAAGCCTATCTATATCCCGTTGCAATCTTTTTGCATCATCCTCAGAGCTTACTCTCCCACCGAGTTTAGTGTCGTCCGAGAATCTAGATACGTTACATTCAATGTCCTCGTCTGGATCATTGATGTAATTTGTAAATAGCTGAGGCCCAAGCACTGATCCTTGTGGCACTCCACTAGTCACCTCCTGCCAATTCGAGAATGACCCGTTTATCCCTACTCTCTGTTTTCTACCCGTTAGCCTCTCTTCAATCCATGCTAATATGTTCCCATTAAACCCGTGGGCCTTAACCTTGTGCAATAGTCTTTTGTGTGGAACTTTGTCAAATGCCTTTTTAAAATCTAAATATACTACATCTACTGGTTCCCCCCTATCTAACCTCGAGATACATCTACAAAAAACTCTAAAATATTAGTTAAGCATGACTTCCCTGTTGTAAAGCCATGTTGACTCTGCCTAATCTTGTTATGGTATTCCAGGAATCCCATAATGACATCTTTAATTAAGGACTCAAGAATTTTACCTACCACTGATGTCAATCTAATTGGTCTATAGTTCCCCATCTTTTCTCTCCCACCCTTCTTAAATAGTGGTGTTACGTTTGCAATCTTCCAATCAATGGGAACCGTTCCAGAATCCAGAGAATTTTGGAAGATCAAAGACAAGCCATCCATTATCTCAGTAGCCACCTCTTTCAAAACCCTAGGATGTAGGCCATCAGGTCCAGGAGATTTATCAGTTTTCTTTACTAATATTAATTCCCCCAAGTTGCTCACTAACATTTTCTTCTTGGTTCCCCTCTATTCTTGGTAGGTTTTTAGTGTCTTCTAAGGTGAAGACAGTAGCAAAGTACTTGTTTAATGACTCTGCCATGTCTTTGTCCCCTACTATAATTTCCCCCGTCTCTGCCTGTAGCGGACCCACATTTACCTTTGACAGCCTCTTCCTCTTTAACCAAATTGAAACCATTTCCTCTCACTGTTGATAAATGGATAGATTCCTGGCTCACCTGAGATAAAAGCTTACAAGATCAATTAGTGCCACAGGAACTGTTCTTTTAGATCGCAGCAAATTCTTTTAAATCCAGTTTCTTTGCCTTTTCTCCCCTCAGCATATTGTGCTTTCAGTTTAACAAACTTTGGATTTGAAGTGAAAATCAACAACAAATTACGTTTGTATAGTGCCTTTCTCGTCGGGAGGACGTCCCCAGGCGCTGCACAATTCAGCCATTAATCATGCTTTGGAGTTGCTTGCCTTGGTAATTGTTTCTGGTTTACACAAAACTAAAGGCATGTGAGATTACAGACATTTTATACATCACTTTCTAATGCCTCCTGACTTTGTTTGCGATAGGATCATGAGAGTTCCTCCAAGCCTCCTGAGATGCCAGTACAAAACATGAGGAAGATGACCACTGCAAGTCAGCCTGACCTGACTCCCAGCCACCAGGACAGGATGTCTAGCACCCCCACCTCCTCCAACAAAGCAGGTCAGCACAGGCTGAAAAGTGACTCTGAACTCAGGACGCTGGGTAGGTCACAGCAGGGGAAGCCTGAGCAGCCGCCCATTGTAGATCCAGAGGAATCCGAAGGTAAAAAAATGAAGTGTTTGAAGAATTCTATTCTCAGAGATTCTATTTAAGTTCAGAAACCCTTGAGAAAGTTAAAGTTTTCTTGATACTCTGGCTGGAGTGTGAATCTGTTTAGTATACTATGGAGTGATTCAGAACATCCCAAACAGTAACTTGCCAATAATTGAAATGCATCACTCTGACTGGCCTGAACTCCAACATAGAAATAGATCCTGTCAGAGTGGATTTCCCATGAGTGGACGTGAAAACTTCCCAGTGGCTGGCAAAGCGCATGATTTGGCCCGAGTTTGTGGTAATGTGACCAGCATTATCAGGTATCCTTTTCTTGCTGTTGCAATAAAATTCTAGCAGTGTCGCAGAGACCTTATTGCCAGTCCTCCCGTTCAGGTTCAGAGGAACATGTCTGCCTGCTGGACTGCATCGTGGTTGATCTGCAGGACATGGACATCTTCACTGCAGAGAGACGCTCCAGAGAGAAGGCTGCAGGTGCTGAGTGCAGCATCTCAGATATCTTCTTCCCATCCTATCTTGTGCGCCAACTGGATGGAAACGTGCTGAAAGAGCGATGCTGGCTGAAGCTACAGGTGGAGCGAAACTTGGACAAGTGAGTGTTGAATTTTACATAGAAACAGAAGCCCGTCAAGCCTATTCTTCAAATTTATTAGATCAACCCTAATCTCTTAATCATTTTACTATTATCTTTTCATCCCTTTGTCCCACTTTTCCCTTATAACTTTTAATCCCCTGATTTCCCCAGTGTCTTTGAGATGACATCCCCTTTTCTTGAATCCCTCTACTGGAGGGAAGAGTTGCCAGTCTAGCTTGTCATTTTCATTCGTTGTTATAAATCTCAGTCATATCACCCCTTTAACCCCTTTAGATCTGAGCACTGAACATCTCACCATAGCTAATCCCCTTATCCAAGGTATCAAAGTTGCCCACACACCAAGATTCTACTTGACCTACAGTCACACATGGATGAGCAATTTCCATCTTTTCATCTTATTTTACCTTATGGGATATAGTACATAGGTAGTTTGGGACATATGTGCATGCGACCTCCAGGAAGGAGGAAGGCCAACTAGATGGAACTTGGTCTTTTTTCGTCTAGCATTTCTTATGTTCTTATGTTATGTTCTTTCCAATTTTCCTATTACCTTGTTGTTCTACTGTATTTCAAGTTCAATGAGTGCATGTATAACCACGTGTTGTTTCAGGGAGATTAGTCACGCTGTCCCTGACGTGTCTATCCATGGTAGCCTGTCGTCTGTGCACTGTTCGCTCGATCTCAGTAAATACAAATTGATCCGCGGATTAATTCAAAACAACTTGGGGGAGCCAATTGAGGAGTTCATGCGACCATTTGACCTGCAGGATCCCAGCATCCATGTAAGTATAAAAGAGGGGAGCGCTTGGGAGCCTGGGACCCATTTTGTTTTTTTTGGCGAAGCAGGGCACAGCTGTAGATATTTGTGGAAACTCATCACCATGCTTAAGAGTATCCAAACCAGATTCTGAGTCCCACATGTGTATACCATCTGTGTGTGGAATTGAATGCGCATACTGTCCCTGGAGGGATGCATTCCTACTTACCTAATTCTGGAAAGTATTACTCACAGGCTGGTAAGAGCCACGGTTTGGGTTTGATTCCCGGCAAGGCGAAACGTTGGGCAAGTTTTCTTACTCCACACGCCTCTGTTACCTAGCAGTAAGTAGGGACCTGGTTGTTATTCGATTGACGAATCGCTTTTCCGGGAGTAATAATTCCTTTTTAAAAAACAAAACAAATTGATTACTCAATCCCAAAAAGTTTGTGGGACACTGCTGTGTGCATTTGGCTGCCAGGTTTTCCCACAAAATATATACAGTCTATATCAAATGCAAGAATTATTATTAAGGAGGGCAGTGCTGAGATGCATTGTTACCGCAGAGTGCTCTTCAGTGGTCTTGTTTCCCATTGCTAACTGCTCCTCTCTTTTGCCACGTTCTTACTGTGAAGTCTGAATTCTGATGCTTCTGCAACAAATATGATTTTAGAATTTCTTCCATCTTGAGTCGTGTCAAAGCTCCATTTCATTGAGACTGCTTGACCCACTATCCCCGGTTCCTTCAGTTTAATTAGAGACTGCCACAGATGCCGAATGTGTAAGAATCCTGGGCCAGAATTTCTGTTTGTTTGTGCCTCTAAGCCAAGATACTCTATGCACTTTGAAATGTGGTTTCCACAGGCCTGAAATTCTACATGCGTTGCATTCATACTGTCCTCAAAGGTTTAAACAGTTGGGGAGAAATTCTGAAATTGGATCTTGAAAAGATCTGTTTTTGTCTTGTTTGTTCAAATACCTCTACTTTTCTGATTTATCATTTTGTGATGTTTTAGACGGTTCTCACTGGGGAGGTGTACACATCCATGTCCTTTCTCATTGACATGATGAATGTTAGCTTGGAACTCTTGGAGTCGAAAAGCAAGAGTGGAAATGGTAGTTCACTGGCAAGGTTTGTCTTCCTGAATAAGTTCTGAGTTACTCTCTGTCACTGCTTCCATATTGTTCTATAGCTAGAATGACGACAAGAACAACCTCCTTTTGTATAGCGCCTTTCACGACAAGGCGCTATACGAATATAATTTGTTGTTGTTGTCCCAAGGTGCTGGACAGTCAGGGAACCGCACACTAGCTGCTGGTGGGTTAGGAGGTCACAGAGGTAGGGAGGAGCAGGGCCATGGAGCTTTAAAGTTGAGCACCAGGTTCTTAAACTATCCTCTGATTGATGGGGAGCCAGTGGAACTGGACGAGGATCGCAGAGCCTGGTGCTGGAGTGGACACAGGTTCAGAGTGCATACTGGCTCCCAACCAGCTGCCACTCTGAAAGACACAAAAGACATAAGAGCTATCCAAGGTGAAATAGCCATCTAGGTTCCCTGCCTTTCTTCCTGTCAACCTCTCGCCTATCAATGACTGACACTATTTGGAGTTTCATATATAAACCTGTGTCTCAGTGTTCAGGATCTGAGAACAGTCACTGAAGAGAACGAATAAACATACCACTGCTTTCCCTGCGCCTGATAACTAACTAGCAACTCAGAGCTGATAATCTCAAACAGTGTTGTTCTTCCCCGCCCCTCCCCTCCAGGACACTGGAATGTCAACAACAACGACGTCCCAAGGCCCTGTCAGCCTATCTTTTGAGCCCCAGCTCCCAATAGTGGCCTTTATTCGCAGCCTACTGACAACAACAACAACAACAACTTGGATTTATGTAGCGCCCTCTATGCCGGACGGCGTCTCAGAGCGCTTACTGACTGGTGCGATAGAGCAGTTTTGATGTGTTATTTTTAAAGGTTTGCTGATCACTGTCCACTAGTTTCCCTATTAACTAAAGGCTTTATTCTCCAGGTTTGATTTTAAAAAATCCAAGCTCCTCTATGAGAGTTTTTCAAATGCAACAAAGTCTGTAAATCTGGTGTCGCACTCGATGATGGCACATGACACACGGAGTCCAGGACAAATGATGAATCCTGACCTCAAGCCAAATGTATTTCAGTGCATTTTGGATGCGTCAAAGAGTAGCTGCAACCGAGGTTCACTGCAAATGGAGCTCCATTACAGGTATACAGTCACAGAATGATAAGAATAATAATCCTTGCATTTGATATAGCGCCTTATCATGTTGTTGAGACGACTCAAAGCGCTTCACAGAATATACTGTATACTGTGACTGTATACTTTGTGAGCGAAACGCTGCAGCCAATTACGCACAGCAACGTTCCACAAACAGTCAGGGATTGAGCGACCAATTTTTTTTTCACGAAAATTATTACCCCCGGGCTTGTGCCCATTTCTGTTTCTTCTTTTTAAAATAAATTCTGTTTTAAATGTAACTGGTTTGTGTCAGAAAATTACACATTGCCAGCACCCTCTGTGTAAAATCATTGTTTTCTCTAACCTAAAAGACTATATGTCACTCCTCATCATTTCCCTTTAATTCTATTTCTGATTTATCATTAAATTCTGCCCTTTCATCACTGAGTCACCGACCCCCTGTGGAAATAATCTGTGACTATCTACCCTCTCAGAACATTCATAATCTCGAAGACCACAAAATATACAGTCACTACACAGTACAGTATATCCTGTGAAGTGCTTGAGAAGTTTCAAAGAAGTGATAAGGCGCTGTATCAAATGCAGGGATTATTATTTATTATTATTCCCTACTCTACCCTGGTCTTGTAAAAAGAGTTCCAACTTCTCAAGTCTGCCTTCATAACTGAAACACCTCATACTGCTGGCATCCTAGGGATTTTACTCTGCACCTTTTGCATTGCATGTGTATATATATTCAAGACTATATGTCACTCCTCATCATTTTAAAGACCTTAATTTTTTAACAATATGAATCTTAATATCTAAAAATATAAGACTGGGCTGAATATTGTAGGATTGGTGAACGTACATTCAGTTCCCCGTGTGGTGAGGACTGTGGTAATAGAGCAAGGGGTGTTTAGAACAACAACTTCCCTTATATAGCGCCCTCTATGCAGGGTAGCATCTCAGACCGCCTGAAGAGGAGCCTGAGTCCCTCTAAATCTGCTGCTTCTTTTTGTTGAATTCAAATGCTTTGTTAATTAGAAATCAGAGTTGTGACGGATGGACACTTTGAAACACCTGTGAACTTGGTGCCATTGGAAACCTTTCACCTTCATTTCCTAAGATCAACCAGAGATGCTTCCTGTTTCACCGTGGTCCTCAACAACCTGCGAGTTTTTGTTATATTTGACTGGCTGATGCTGGTGCGGGACTTCCTGCAAACGTCTAGCACTGGGAAGAAGCCAGACACATCCTCGCCGGCCCGGGAACACAGGAACAACTGCAGCGAAATCTTGATTCCTCAAACTGTGAAGAGTGGAATCATTACCAAGAGGTCCTCTGTGCCAGCGCCCAGTGACAAGTACCTGGAAGTCAAAATCAATGTGACTGGTGAGCGATAACCTTCAATCCAGGGGAGGGATGGGGGGAGAGGGTGGGGGGAGGGAGGAAGTATCCAGGATCTCAGGTGAGGTGAGGGCTTAGGGGCCCAATGGAATTTTCTTTTTTAAATTTATTTGCCTGTTCAGCTTTCTGCTCATTTTCCTCCCTCCCATATCACGTCTAATGAGCTTGTGGAATCCACCCCCCAGGTACTGAGTTTGTTGTGGTTGAAGATGTCTCTTGCCTTGACACAAATGCCGTGATCCTCAAGGCAACCACGGTGCTCACCTACAAACCGCGGCTGGTGGATCGTCCATTCTCCGGCAGCTTGGGGGGGATTGAGGTAAGCATCCTTATCGCTTGACATGGGGGAAATGAAGTGCAGGTCAGTGATGCAGGTCAGCATCAGGGAGAAACTAGATAGTGTTAGTGTTCAGAGGGACTTGGGTGTCCTTGTACGCTAGTCACAAAAAGTTAGTTTGCAGGTACAGCAAGCAATTAGGAAGGCTAACGGTATGTTGGCATTTGTTACAAAAGGGTTAGAATATAAGAGTAGGGAAGTCTTGTTGCAACTGTATAGGGCCCTGGTGAGACAGCACCTAGAGTATTGTGTGCAATTTTTGTCTCCTTTAAGAAAGATTGTACTCGCCTTGAAGGGGGTACAACGTAGATTCACTAGGTTGGTACCAGGGATGAGGGGGATGAGTTATGAGTATAGGTTGAGCAATTTAGGCCTGTATTCTCTAGAATATAGAAGATTGAGAGGTGATCTTATAGAAACCTATAAGATTATTAAGGGGCACGACAGAATAGATAGTGGGAGACTTTTGCCCCTGGTTGGAGAAACTATAACCAGAGGTCACAGTCTTAAAATAAGGGGTAAGCCCTTTCGTACTGAGTTGAGGAAAAACTTCTTTACTCAGAGGGTAGTGAATTTATGGAATTCTCTACCCCAAAGGGCTGTAGATGCTCAGTCCTTGTACATATTCAAGACTGAGATTGATAGATTTCTTGTGGATAAAGGGTTTAATGGATATGAGGATAAGGCGGGCGGGTGGAGTTAGAATAGATCAGCCATGATCTTATTGAATGGCAGGACAGGCTAGAGGGGCCGAATGGCCTATTCATGCTCCTAATTCTTATGTTCTATGTTCTTATGGGCTGTGTGATCCTTCCCTATGTTGGGATTTGGAATGCATCGTAGCTGAGGTGAGAAGGCGCTGACAGGAGTCCAGCAAGAGAGTCTCTGTCTTGTCCACAGTCAACTGAAGAAAGTTAGAGCTCAAACAGGCAATCTATCAAGGACAGCAGTCGTCCTGGAATTAAAGGTGGAGGAAGAGAGATAGAGAGTTCGGGGTCATCCACATTCATGTGGAATTTAATCCCATGTCTGTGGATGCTTTCGCTTAGCTGTAGCATGTAGATGTTAAAGAGGAGAGTACCAAGGGCAGAGTCCAGAGGAACGCCGCATGCGATGGTGCAGAGGGTGGGAAGGAGAAGCTGTTGGCAGATATGAAGTGGAGACGTTGGGATGGAGTGAAACCAGATAGGACAGTCTGTGAAGGTGGAGCTGAGAGGAGAGGAGGTGGCGAATGGTTGACAGTGTCGAAGACGGCAGAGGGGTCAAGAAGAATGAAGAGGCCGAGAGAGCCCTGTCACAGATAGTGGGATTGCCTTTCAAAGACGAGACTTGGAGGAGTGGACGGTAGAGGCAGGAGATCAGACTGAAGGAGATAGCAATGGTGTAACTGAGACTAAAATAGGTTCAAGTACTCATTCAGCCTTGTGATGCCTCAGAGGCTGTGTGCTGCTGTATTTAATAAACAAGCGCGGGTTTAGGCTAGTTTTAATTACCTTTACATAATGGCACATAACTGTATTTATCTCTCTTTTTACTGTTATGTAACAGCTGTTTTAATGTAAATCACGAAACAGGTGTTCTCATGCCGACTTGGAAATGAACAGGAGACTGCCTTGTCCATCATCGACCCTGTGAACGTGCAGATCGAGCTGATGGGGAACCCCACCCGCCAGGAGAGCTCCGGCCTGCTGGACGCATTCAGCAGCGATGATTTCCCACCAGTACTCGAGGTGACCTTGCTCAAAACATATTCCAGGAAGCAGTGGTTGTAGTTCAGCGATCAGATCGATTCAACCACAGCTTCAACTTGGGCTGAGAGAGTCCAGCTGGAGTGTTCTGAATCAGTTCACTCATGTAACGAGTTTGAATGCTTTCAGTAACTGTGTTCATCTTACAACAGACCTGCTGTCAGCAGTCACCCATTAATTTCTCTCTAGTTTTATGCGGTTTTGTTCACTTCAGTGCTGAGCAGTCTGGTTTTGAGAGCTTAAGTTCTCTGTTTTTAAAAAAAATGCGCCTTGTCCCTTTTTGTATCTCTTCAGATTCAGTTCTCGACCCTTGACATCAGGCTGTCATACAATGATGTGCAGCTGTTCCTGGCCATTCTGAAGTCCATCCCTAAGCAAACCACTGTAACGCCCATGGCCTCTGATCCCGAGCTTGTGAATGGTGCCTCTTGCTCAGTCCGTTCAAGTGGCAATTTGGCAACAGGATCAGGGAAAAGAGAGACCAAACGCCAAATAGACCCACTTCTTGGTAAGCAGTCAACAGAGAGACGATGCACATCTAGTCAGGTTCCCAAAGCTTTCCACCACTGACAGTTTTTCCTCGCCTCCTGCCTGAGTCTGTTGTAGACTAACTGATTGCCATTATTCATCCACATCTCCATTATTATGTGACTGCCAGGAAAGGATGGTGGAAGGCAAACTAGATGTACTAGATGGTCTTTTTTTTCGTCTAGCAATTCTTAAGTTCCTATGAGGCATTAGCTTGGCTCAAGAATCTCACCTCTGGGATACAACATTGTGTGTTGAAGTCTCCACATTGGTACATGAAGTCACTGACCAAGCTGACGATAATAACAGCAACTTGCATTTTATAACACCTTTCACGCAGATAGCATTGTCATAGGTGTCGTCCTTTGGAGGGGCCATTAAACCGATGGCCCGTCTGCCTGTTCTTCAGGTGCATCTTAAACTTTCCATGTCACAGGTTGGAAAGAGAAAGCAATTTTTCCCAGTGCTCTGCCCAACAAGCTACAGGAAAAAATCGCTGTGCACCTCATATCTGTTTTGGCAATCAGATGAACCCTACGTGAGGAGACTTAGTGTAAAGCATTTAGAGATGTGTCCGTGTGCCCAGGTGCCCGTTTTTCTCTCGTTCTATCACCGGTTTCATTTCTTTTTACAGAATTGCAGCTGGATCGCCTGCAGGACCTGGGCTTCAGTCTGGAAGATTGCCGCAAAGCGCTGCTGACGTGCAAAGGTACAGAATACACAGGAAAGACCTCGTATTGATCCCTGGAGCTCATTACTTTGCGCTTTAGGGACACTGACCTGCTTGAAGGGCACTATGTAAGTTGTTGTTGTTTCATGTAGCACCTTAATTCTTATGAAGTCAGACAAGATGGAAATGAAACACAAAATGCTGCAGATGGAAACGAGCCTCCTTAGCCAGCACTGACGGCTTCCAACACATGAGCCACTTGGCTTTTCACCAAGCTAGTGGCTAGAACTTTCCTGATGCTTTTATCATGGAAAACACAGCCCGCATGGATGTCAGTACAAGGCAAGAGAGAGGGGGAGGGGAGGAGCGGGAAGAGGATAATAAAATTAAAAAGTATAGCATCAAGTCTATTTTAAGCACTCTGAGACGTTACCCTGCATGAAGGACGCTATATAAATGCAAGTGGTGGTTGTTGTATTGAGGCCAGTGAGAAAATTGTTGGAGAAATTTCTTCCAAGTGATGAAAGAGTGGATAAGGACTTTGGTAGTTCAGCTTGAGATAGGAACATAATCGGGCGATGTTCCGGAGATGAAAGATGGCAGTCTTGATGACATTGACTGTTTGTGGGACACTGCTGTGCTCAATTGGCTGCCGACAAAATACACGGTCAATTCACTTTACAGTATATTCTGTGAAGTACTTTGAGATGTCTCAAAGATGTGATAAGGCGCTGTGTCAAATGCAAGGATTATTCTTCTCCTTTTTCTGCAGGTCAGCTGAACCACGCAGCTACATGGCTGTTTAAGAATGCCGAGCCAATGTCAGCTGCCTTGGCTAGTGCTGGGGAGAGCCGGGGAGCCAACTCAGGGATGCTGGTCTCGGGGGTCGAGGTGAAAGCCGAAAGTATCTGTATCTGCCTGATTGACGACTGCATGGACTGTGACGTTCCCCTTGCAGAGCTAACCTTTTCAAGTGGGTTCCATAGATGAAGCGCAGTTTAAAGCAGTGATTGATAAATCTCAGATGGTTCAATGCCTCATCCGAATGACAGCACCTCCCGCCATTGCAGCACATGTCGGCCTGGATTGCGAGCTCATGTACCGATGTGGGGCTTGAGCCCACAACCTTCTATCCCAGAGGTGCAAGTGCTAGCAACTGAGCCTGGCTGACATGTAATAAAGTTTGGTGATTGGTCTTATGATTTCTCTCTTCCAGGGCTGTATTTCCTGCAGAGAGTGGGGACAAACACAGGGGGCTCAGCCCATTTCACCCTCTCTGGAGATTACTACAACCGTGAGCTGTCAGGTAGGATGCTAAATGCTGTGTGTCCTTTATGGGCAAGGTCTTGTGTTGCTCGTCACCGAAATAATGTGAGTTTTTACATGACTTTTTATAGGAAGCATGAAAGACTGAGCATGTGTGTTATTTTACCTGCTGCTTTCATTCTTTCTTTATAAGTGAGTCACAAATTTGCATGGTTAATCTGATCAATACTGTGAGGCAGAAAACTTTCAGGGTCAGTTTCCGTTGGATATTTTTCATGCGTCTAAGTAACTGCACAGACCTGGAATTTGAGCCTGTGGCTTGTGGTATGTATAGTCCTGCAGCAGACAGTGTCTCACTCAGTCAGCCATCAGGGCAGGAAGGTGCTCCCTTTCATGACCCCTATGGTTAAGCAGGTTTGCTGGGGAATTAAACTCTTAAAAGAGTTGTATGTGTGGATTTAACAATGTACTTTGCAATTGATTTAATTGAGTGTTCTTTTTCATTCAGACTTCTCTGAGGAAAATCACACTGGAAACTTGGGAACAATTCTTGTGTTAAACTAAACGTTTAATTAGACCTGGAAAATGTCATGACCCAGAAATTTCTAAGCGTCCATTGTCTTTCCTGTAAATACAGAAAGCATGGGTCCTGTTCTGCCTTTGTCGGCTTTAAAGCTTATTTTAAACCAGTTTATGCACCCCCAATCTGACGTTTATCTGCACCGTTTAAGTTACAATACTGTGGAATGTGGGGCAGAGGAAGCTTAGCGCTTGTTCTATTGATTTTCTGGCTGATCCAGCGGAATCGCCACCAGACTGGTGGGTAGGATTTTCCAGCAGCAAAGCCAGAGCGTCTGTATACACACAAGAAGGCCTTTTAGCACCGGCCAAATCTTTTTACAAAGAACAGAGTGGTTTTATGTGTGTGTCTTTTAAAGAAACGGCTATCTGTATTGGATGTACAGGACACGCTGACAGGGAATCTTTAAAGCCATGTTTATTTATCACTCGGTGATTAAGAGGTTTGTGTGAAAATGTTGTTTTTCACATCCAATCCAAGTACAGCACTAACATTTCTGTGTGAAATAATAATAATAATCCTTGCATTTGGTATAGCGCTTTTCACGTCGGGAGGACGTCCCAAAGCGCTTCACAGAACACACTGTAAAGTGAATTGACTATATTTGTGGGCGAACGCGGCAGCCAATTGCGCACAGCAATGTCCCACAAACAGTCGTAGATTGAAAATGACCAATTTATTATTGTTTTTGGTGTTGGAGGGATTATTATTAGGCTCTGTGTGGAGTAAGGAAACTTGCCCAAGGTTTCGCCCTCTGCCTGGAATTGAACTCAGGTCTCTCGCTTGCAAAGCGAGTGCTCTAACCACTGAGCTACAGGACTCCAGGAAATTAATGATGTAGCAGAGTTTTTAAAAAAAAAATTATAATTGGTATCTTTATTTTGAAGATCACATGACTAGTTCGGATGAAGGTTAGATGTGGAGGAAATATAACCCACATTAACCAGCCGAAAGAGTCTACTTTAATCTGTGTGTCAGCCCGGCTCACTCCCACCTCTGAAGCAGAAGGTTGTGAGTTCAAGCCCCACATTGGGACTTTGAGGTCAAAGTCTAGATTGTTGCTGCAGTTGGAGTGCTGGGGCAGCGGTGCTGCAGTTGGAGGTCCTTTAGATGATACTTTAAACCAGGTGCCCATCTGTGTCTATTCGGGTGGATGTTAAAGATCCCACAGCACCAGTGGAATAAAGAGATGGGGAGGTAAGCGGGGTCTCTTTGGAGCTGAACTGGCTGCAAGGTGACATATCTCGCAATGAAATGTCGGAATCAAGCCAGCCCTCTGGCAGTCTCGGCAGTCTGGTTCTTGAGCCAGGAGGGTCCACAGTATAACAGGGCACTGCTGATGACATCACAGTCAGCCTGGCTCACCGGTAGGACCAAGAATGGCAGACACTGGGGGCATAGAGTCGGCCCAATCATCTATTAACCCTGCAAGGCAAAGCCCGAACAGGTAGGTTGGTCCAAGCTGGACAAGCAGAGGGAAAGCTTGCCAGACAGTGCTATCAATGGCAAGCTATGCGGTTTTAGTTGGTTAGACTTCAACAGTTACCCCAACGCACACTCTGGGTTCCCCCTCAAGCCTTGGTTTTTGCCAACTTGCGCCTAATACTTTCCAGAATTAGGTAATAAGGCTGCATCGCTCCAGGGAGAGAGAGTGCATTCCATTCCAACAATCTATCTCTGGAATTTCCATATGTTGGTGGGATGCATGGAATTCTCAACTTGGTTTGAATACTCTTAAGCATGGTTTCCGCATGTGTCAGACATCCACCTGGGTGACACCCACAAAAATTGGGCTTTAATGGCTTTCCCTTTGTGTAGGTTGGGAGCCGTTTGTTGAGCCCTGGACTTGTTTCCTGAGCTGGCAGCAGCAGGTGGCCAGTCGCCTTCACCCACCGCGCCTCAAGCTGGATCTGCAGGCCAAACAGCGGCTCGACATCAACATCACATCTGTGCTCATAGGTAACGTTCACTGAACATTCAGTCTGAAGCACGTCATCCAACATCCCTCACCAGCCCCACCAACACACTCAAGCCCCGCCTCCTCACAGCACCAGCCCCTCCTTCCCACAAGCGCCCATGCTCCACAAGATCATTTGTTTTATAAACCATAGAATTAAGACCACCGACGTCTGGATTGTTGGGAATTTGACGGCAGCACTTAAAGTGAGGTCCCGCCTGCCTGTTCAGATAAATGGTTAAAGATCTTGTCACCCTATTTGAACGAAAAAGTAAAGCTTTCCCTTGGTGTGCCAGCCAGTAATCCTCCAGATTAGTTCATAATTTACAGTAGGATCTTTCTGTGCTCAAAGTGGCTGCCATATTTGCCAACGAAAGTTACTACGCTTAACTAATCACCTTGAAGCACTATAAGACAGTACAAATATCCACGTTCTTCTCTGTCTTGCGTTACAGAGCAGTGCAAAAGGACAAAGGCCTCCTGGATCGCTGATTACTGCAAACAGGTGGAAAAGGACAGCGGCAGCGCAGGGAGACTCCAATGGAGGACAGGTGTATACATGGATCCATTAATGCTTGGACAGAGTAAGTGCAGGGCACACAGACTCGGCTTTGGATTATTTACGGTGAAGGTTCAGACTGTACAGTCTATTGGGAACGAAAGAGAGAGTGCTGCAACTTTTTATAGAGAAGGAACAGTTGATGGTTTGTGTCAAATTAAACGGGATGTGGACATTAAGCTTTCTATGTCAAAATGAGAAAGGCTAGAGGGAATTATTGTTAGCGTGAGCATTAAGAATCACTTCTTTGGGATTGTTTGCTGTCTTAGTGGCTGCAGTGATCAGTTTAAAACTGAATTGACAATTCTGCTCAGCATCCCCCACCCCAGCGAAGGGGTTTGAGTTTCACAGTCTTGACTAGTAATCTGCCAGTGGGCGACGTGTTCTCCTGAAGAGCACCTCCCGGGATGTTGCACACAGCCTGCCATTCGTTTGGCCCATAGTCACATCAGAGTTGCACCTACTAAGTCAGCAGGGATTGTGTGGGACGGATTAGATTAGTCTAATCAGCTGTAAGAAGTTTTGTGCTCATAAAATTTACAATAGTGTGTCTTATATGATTTGCGTTCTAAGGCCTGAAATTCCACCTGCCTAGTCACCATGAATAAAGACAGTGGGCGGAATGACCATCTCCTGGGCTGTAAATTTCTATGACCTTAGCCTACAAAGACAACTTTCTCTTAAGATTTATGACATCTCAGAACAGTGATCAACTCTGTTCGTCCCCAATCAGCATCATCCACACTACTGGGAAAGATATCAAAGCATCCCTGCCCTTTAAGAAGCTTTTAGACATCAGTCATATGACCCATCCTGTCCAAGCTGCCTATATAGCTGTCACGGTGCTAATCTGTTAGATTTTCTGCGATAGGAAACCGTGCTTTGCACCATCTGTATCCCAGGTGTTTTCCCTTTCCACTTTTAAATCTATAAATATTTTTTAAATAATATTTTCAAAAAACAATTCTCATTCAGTATGATCAGTACTGTAGCCTACTCCACAACCAGAGAGGGACTCATTCACCTTACACATTGTGTTTGCCCTGCGAAGTGTCACTCACAGCTCATGTCCTAGCTGAGGCTTTGGGCCAAGATAACGTCCTCTTCATGGCATGTGATCCATTCCAAGGTTGTCACAGAGCTGATACCAGCTTCTGCCTGTTACATTTTGAATCGCTGGTAAACCTCTGATTACCCTGTGTTTGTTTACAAGCCAGGACTATTTTTGTTTAGCAACTGCACAGTCTCTTGTTTAGCTAATATAATATTCCACACTTCAGCAGGACCATTTATCCAATCAAATAACTGCTGTTTATCTTATCTCTAGCACCACTTTCCCCTCGGAATGCGTTGATAATAAATGAACCTACCATCTCCTTTCCACCTACATCGGGTGTGGGTGAAAGCACCCTCTGATTTTCTGGATTAATGAGGAGTCTGAAAGTGTAACTTCTCAGCCAAGGGGTTTGGATCTGTTGCGGTATAATCTAATGAAGAGGAATGTTTGCCACTGCACTCTGACGCATTCCATGGGCACTTGTCTCATTTCATCTTTTAGAGTAAGATTAAACCACCCATGTTGCGTCTGTGTGCTTGATACTGAATTCTGACCAAGCATTCTAAGGTCAGAAACTGGTCCCAAAAGTCCAATTAAATCTTCACTTAACCAAGAAATTCTGTGAAACTCTTTGAGACTTCTTGAAGATGCAATAAGGAGCTATATCAAATGCAAGGATTATTATTATTGTTAATTTGGAAACCAGTTTTGTTCCTAGAACTGTGGAGTATCGGCCCTACAAATTTCCAAATCTGAAATTAGAAAATGGTTTTGCAGACTAAGGAATTTACTTGGAATTTCAGGGCTCTGGCATCTAAATTAGTTTATGATATTGTTGTGTTAGCTTCAGCTTCTTCCTGTTTCTCCTGTGGATTTTGGCATTCTTTTCCCTTGTCCTTTGCACCATTTCTGTCTCTCTCCCTTCACTGAAAGCTCACGCACTGGTCCTGTCTATCCATTTCAATATCTTTCCTTCTCTGCACATTGACGTTAACCTGCAATAGGCGCAGTACTCATGAAGATCAACTTAAGCTACATCCTATCTAGGCATTGTCAGGACAACATAGGGGTTTAGCTTTGCATGTTACCTTTGACATCTTTCCACAGATGCAAGTTGTTTTTGGGTGATGTTTTCATGACCTGTTTTTCTCCAGGAGTTTGGTGTGCATGTTCCGTTGATGTCTGAATTGTTAATCTTTGTTCTTGTTGTTAAATGGCCTGAAACTCTCAGGATAGCAAGGTATTACACAAATATCTTGTTACAGCACAGGCTCCAATATCCCAGGGGCTGTGTTATAAGGCGAGGCATGGACATTGTCCAACATCTGCATCTTTGGATCACTGCTGACATCACCATCTCTGTGTTGTGCTGGAAGTGTTGCTAACATTTCTTCCCGTGTGTAGTACATGTGTGCAATGCGCAGAAAGTACTCCTGACATCACTACCTTCATGAAGTAGCATTAGTGGTGCTTCCTGTACAGCGCATGTACGTTGTATGCAGGAAGTGATGTTAACAATGCTTCCTGCGCAGGTGTGTGACCTGCAGGAAGTGACATCTGCAGCATCCTGACGACCCGAAAGGTCATCCTATTTTTTGACACGGGCACTGTAACGGTTCCTCCGTGTAATATTTTTAAGGTTGTCGTTAAACCACCTTGAAATTTCTTGGTTCTTACTTTCTTACCTTTCCAGAGCTTCACCTATTGTACCCCCTTGAATGTAATGCAAGTTTGTTCCTTTATGTCCCTGCATGTCTATGTGAGCTAAGCAGTTTCTCTTTTTCTCTAATTGCACCTCTCTTCCTCTGTCAGGCAACCCTCTTGCCTACCTTAGAACTAGAAGCACTGCCAGCCTGACTAACCTAGAACGCCAGATTTTTGCCAGAGGTACTGTACCAGGGAATGATGATCTTGTATAAAATATGTTTTGTGTGATTTAAAATTCACTAATTTCTAGGTTTTATCATTAAAAGTACGGCTTGGTATAGTATTACCCATTTGTATTCTGCTATCTCTCCTGAAAGTGTTTTTGACTCCCTTATACCTGCCACTTTGAGGTACTGTTACTCAAGTGGACATGATCAGGTTGAAGTCTTAACAATCGGTGTCAGGCGGTTGGTTATTCAGTGTGTGGCACGGTGTGGTCGGGGGGGTGGGGGCGATGTGACTGTTTGGCCTGCAAAATATGCAGTCAACTCACTCTACAGAATATTCTGTGAAGTGCTTTGAGATGTCTTGATGACGTGATATAGCACTATATCAAATGCAAGGATTATTATTATTATCTGTTCTCTTGGGAGCAAATCTCCCGAGCACGGTGACTGGATCATGCTGGATCCTTGATTGATGTTTCAATCTCTAATCCTGAGGCCTGTAGTGATGTTTGTACAATCAGCACTCACTGGGCAAGCTCATTGAAGCACTGAGTTATTTTCTCATCAGACCTACTATCTTTTTACTGTCTTTATTTTACAGTTTATTCCATTTGTCTCTTAGACACGATCAGATAGGCCAGGAATCTTCAGCCTTCAAATGGGACTTTTATAAATGCTTGTAAGGTGGCAGCAAGACAAGAGAACATAGGTTCAGGGATGTGAAGGGCAGATATAGGATAGGCATCAGGAAATAGATTTTTACATAAAAGGTAATCAGCTTGTGTCAGTTGGTTGCACTCTCATCTCTGATGCAGAAGGTTATGGGTTCAAGTCCCACGTCAGGTCTTGAGCTCACATTATAGGCTGGCATTCCAGCACACTATTGGGTTAGAAGTCCTTTTGCTGAGAACCCTAACCTGAGGTCTCATCTGCCTTTTCAGGTAGATGTTAATATGGCATGGTGCTATTTGAAGAAAAAAGGGAGTTTCTCCCAGTGGAATGGCCAAAAATCCTCCAGATAAATTTCACTCACTGTGGCCATTTGATGAATCTTGGGTGCATTGCCTACAAAAAACAAAAACACCATCACCACACTTAACAGCATTTTCCCATGAAAAAAGAGCTTTGAAGTGTTTCAACATTATAGACACTATATCAAATGCATGGATTGTTATTAAGTATTCTTATTAATCAACATCTGGAATGGGTTACAAGGATGTGTGATATGGTGGAAACTGCTAATGGAAAGACAAAGAGTGGGTGTCCTGGGAGAGAGAGATCAAAATGGGCAAAGAGCCTCCTTCATCTTCACCTCGCTTGTGATCATTCTTTTATTAGAACAGTTCCAAACTCTCCAGTCCACTCTCCAGATTTTTACCAGCATTTTTTGGTCAGACTGATGTCTGTTTAACTGTATATTTCCAGTCAATGTGAAGACCCATTTGCAAACATCAAGGTAGAGTGGGGCAGACACCGAGAAATATTTGTTTAATCCCCAGCTGCAAAGAGTTTCCAGGAGGCCATTTCACTGGGGCTCCTTTAAAGCACAAGGTGGATGGATAGTCAGGTGGTTGTTCTGGAAGGATTAGACCAATGATTTGCCGACAGGGTGAAACTTTGGGCAAGTTTCCTTACCCCACATGCCTCTGTTTAGCTAGCAATAAGTAGGAACCCAGTTGTTAGTCGATTGGCGGATCTCTTTTCTGGGGATAATAATTCTTCAAAAAAAGCTAATAATAATTTGGTCACTCAATTCACGACTGTTTGTGGGACACTGTTTTGCGCAATTGGCTGCCGCCGCATTTCACCCACAAAATATACAGTCAATTCACTTTACAGTATATCCTGTGAAGCGCTTTGAGACATCTCAAAGACGTGATAAGGCGCTATATCAAATGCAAGGATTATTATTTGATTCATGCGAACTTCTCTCGTGACCTTCCAGTGACTTTGAGCTGGTGCCTCTGAACAGGCACAGAATGAATTGTTTAGTTCTCTATTATAGTTCTTCTACAATGCTTTTCTTTCTCCTTCATGTTGTGCCTCTTAAGGACTAAACTACTTCAGAGGTAATTATTCATTTTACTGTTGACTGTTATCATGGCAAAGAGTTGAACAGAATTTCTAATCCTGTTCATGAATCTTTTTGATTTTTGATAAGCTTTGGTTTAATTTCCATTTCTCCATTGATGACCATAACCCTGGGTTATAATTTGCATTGATATCTCTGGCGTGTAGCGGGAGGATAGGCACTTTCATTCAAAAATGCAAATTGTCTTGAGTTTTATGATATGATCGAGATATATTTTCATCCATTTGTCTTCTCTTTCAGCGGAAAGCAAGATGCCAAAGCGACGGCAGCCATTTGTGCCTTATGCACTCAGGAACCACACTGGTTGCACCATGTGGTTTGCCACTCTAACCACAAGCCCCACCAGGTAACAAACTCACTCCTGTCAGCACTTGTTTCCTCCTCTATTAGAGATGTTGTACTTTGTCTAAAAAAAATCCCTGCCATTTTGGGGGTCGCGGGGGTGGTGGGCTGGGGGAGTGGAGGAGTCTCTTGGGACCTGATATAACTGAAGAGATAGCGAGCAAGACCAGGCAGCTCTGCAGGGACTCCGAAGCATTGTTGATGGTTGACCGGATGTTTGTCTGGCTAATCTATGGAACGTGTCCCTCACCCTACAGGTTTGGCAGCCCAACTGTACGGGTACCAGCTAGGACCACCCAACCCATTTGGGCCTTGACTTGTGCAGTTAATGTGAGCCGAGTGAGAGGATTCCCAGCACCTAGTGACGGGTCTGCTCCCAGCAAGGGCTGACTCCCATTACAAATTGCATCACCAATGGTTAGCTCTGCAGACACAGCAGACCTGTTGGTTTCAGTCGGTGTCACATTAACTGATGACCCTACACAGTGAGTCGACAACATTCATAAAGTGGCGATGTGATTTCAACACAAGTCTGTTGAGCCGTAGATTGTTCTACAGGAGTTGTGCAGTTCTCTGCAGGCACAATCCTGACCATATCTCACTCCATCAATCCAGCCACTGCTTGGCGAGTGGCCTGAGTGTCTTGACTTTCTCCCCCTCCCACAACTGCAGGAGCTTAACATTGCACCCTGGATCAGGGACACCCTCCTTAGCTAAGCTTCGTTCATTCACATTCACAGAATTTAAACTTTAAATAGTCACGTACGTGAGCTAGTGTGTGCCTGAACCAATGAAACTTAGAGTGGAAGGGTTCTTCTGCATGTCCCTTGTTCCCTTCACTCCACCGTCAACGGCCATGCTCTCAGCTATTACGCCATGAAGACTCTCTGTCTCAATCCCTCTGCCTTGCTCCCTCCTTGTCCATCTTCAGATCACACCTGAAGACCTTTGTTTTTGTCTGTGCCTACAGTCATCTTCCCTCTCTCCCTAGCTTGGCGCCGAGTTCTGCCAATGTTAAACGCTCTGAGTTGCTATCCCACTTGAAGGGTTACTTTATAAATGTAAATGTGGTTGTATCTGAGGCCACTGATGTGTGTTGTTGCTGTAATCCATTCTATGTGTTGTAGAGTGGCACTATCACACAGCAGGAGTCCTGGCTACATTCCTGAGACTTCTGGGACAGTCCTTGACGATATGCACAATGTTAGCCAGTGGCAAGAGGTCCTCCCAGGAGAAGAAGTGCCTTTTAAGTTTGAAGCCAGGGAAAAACTACGACACAGGTGAGTGACCAAATTTATAGTTAACACTCGTTCTGTACTCTGTGTGTGTGTGTGTGTGTCTCTCTCTCTGACTAACTTTTGATCTGTCTCTTTTACTCTCTTTCTTTGAGTGTCTCTTCCTGTCATGACAGTAATGTTTGTATTTATATTGACAGACACACTCACGAGCTGAAGATTCACCAGCTTTTAGTCCGCGTGCATGGTTGGGAACAAGTCAGTCCAGTCTCCGTGGATAAAGTTGGTGTTTTCTTCCGCTATGCAGCTCCTGACCGAAACAGCCAGTCTTCCACGGTTAGTGTGGGATGCTGTACGCATATCATTGTTTGATGATATGTACTGACAAACATTTGTTGAATTTCACATGTACACACACTATATAGATGGCATTTCCCAAAGGCATTTATCAAAACCTAAATAGTTCTGAGAGTTCGGGTTAGTGAAGAATTGCTATCCATAACCGTGGTTCAATTCAGCCATTCCTAGTGTAACACTTATCTGTTTTCCTGGCAGGTTGGGAGTCCCATTAGCAAGACCAACATCATACACCCCCATGTCTATGTGAGTATCCATTTGCCATTGAATTTCTAGTTCATCAATAACTTGTGATCGGTGTCACTTTAGCGTTGCCCTGTGTAATTGCGTCAAACCTAAGTGTATCTGATTTCTACTTACCGCCAGTGACCGTACAGTGTGTGTGTGCGCACATGTGTTTGTGTGCGCGCAGGCTTGCGTTTTCACAGACACCTCCTGACATGAAAGGCACTTTACCAAAGATTGTTATTATTGTTACGATTCTGTTGCCTAATATATTGTGATCTTGTTGTCTGTCTCTGTCTCTCTCTTCCCCTGTAGTTCTCGGCTTTGCCCCCGGTGCGGGTGGTGTTCTCGGTGACGTTGGAGGGCAGTGCCAGGAAAGTCATAACTGTGCGCTCGGCACTGATAGTGAAAAACAAGCTGGAGGTGCCCATGGAACTCCGGCTGGACAGCCCTTCAGCTCCAGACAGTAAGTGGTTACAGACTTACTTGTCAGCATATATATATAGTATCATAATAATCCTTCAATTTGATATAGCGCCTTATTAACTGTGTATTTTGGGGGCCAAACATGTTTGTGTCTGTCCCAGTGATTGTCAGACGTGTCACAGTTGAGCCTCATCCGCCCATAAATATACAGTCAATTCACTTTACAGTATATTCTGTGAGGCGCTTTGAGACGTCTAGAAGACGTGATAAGATGCTGTATCAACTACAAGCTTTACTATGTTATTATTATCCTGTCCTTCATCAATCGGAGGTGACTTCATGCATTTTCTAGTTTTCAGCTCTTATTTTTGCTTCAAAACAAATTGTGTAAACTTGTATGTGCCTCAAAACTAATTGAAGCTTCTTGAATGAACAATTGAATTTTTCCCGTTGATAACGTGAAAGCCAACAATACATGAAGGAAGCCCACTGTCCAAGCGATGAAGACGTTACAAACAGAGTAATCTCACTGGCTGTTCCTTCCTCTCCTGCCCCTTTCAGAGCCTGTGGTGCTACCAGCAGTGTTACCAGGAGACTCGTTAGCAATCCCCTTGCATCTAACGTCGTGGCGTCTGCAGACCAGGCCCAAGGCTCTGGGCTTATTCTTCTGTAAAGCCCCCATCCATTGGACCAACGTCTCGAAAGTGGGTGAGGTGAACAGCAGCAAGCGGGAGTGCCACTCTGCTGATTGCGATGACAGCTGCTGCTACAGGTAAACGCTGCTGTGCGGGTGTTGTCGGCTGCTTCAAGTTATTTCCATCCCCAAGTGGCTTTGTGGTCAGCTTGAAGCAGCTATTTGATCCAGACAGTGCTCTCAATGACAAGTTGTGCGGTTTTAGCTGGTTGGACTCAAGCAGTTACCCCGCAACGCACATGCTCGGTTTCCCCCAAACCTTGGCTCTTGCCAACCTGCGCCTAATACTTTCCGGAATTAGGCAATCAGGATGTGTCCCTCCAGGGAGAGAGTGCATGTTCCATTCCAACCATCCGTCTCTGAGATTTCTACGTGTTGGTGGAATGCATGGAAATCTCAGCTTGGTTTGAATACTCTTTAAGCACGGTGATGGGTTTCCGCATGTGCCAGACACCTGCTGGCCAAACAAAATGATGGCGCCTTACATGGTGAAACATGTTGAAGCACATTATGGTAATTAAAGTATAGTGACTTTTTTGGGCAAACACAGGCAAGCCCAGGAAGGTGCTGCAAACAGCAACAGTCATCAGGTGAATAACCAATTGGTCCAGAGGATTATTGCCCTGAAAATCAGCAGAAATTCCTCTTTCATCCATTGCATTGGGATCTTTATCTCTTACCTGCACATGCAGTTGAGACCTTGATTTAACTTTGCATCCAAAGGACAGACCACCACCCCACAGTTCTGTGTTGGAACATATTCCTGGACTGTGAGTTCAAAGTCCTATTGTGGTGCTTTGGAAGTCACACACATCATGCTTTATTGGGAGAATGTCTCAAACTGCTTCACCAGATTTACTCCAAAGTGGAGTGACTGTTTTATAATATAATAATCCTTGCATTTGATATAACGATTTTCACGTCTTCGAGACGTCTCAAAGCGCTTCATAGAATATGCTGTTAAGTGAATTGACTATATTTGTGGGCGAAACGCTGCAGCCAATTGCGCACAGCAGTGTCCCACAAACAGTCGTGAATTGAAGTGACCAATTTATTATTGTTTTGTTTTTTGGAGGGATTATTATTCGGCGTGTGGAGTAAGGAAACTTGCCCAAGGTTTCACCCTGCCAGGAATTGAACCCAGATGTCTTGCTTGCAAGGCGAGTGCTCTAAGCACTGAGCTACAGGAGCTACAACCAAATTATGGCAGCCAATTTGCACAAGGCGACATCCCACAAATAGCTGTGAAGTGAATGACCAGATTTTTATCTGGCACTCTCCATCATTTTTGTTGTTTTTAAACAGTATCCTCATAATCCCACTCCACTGCCAGGCAGTCACACTGTCCACCACAGCCAATCTACTGTCCTTATGGCTGCCTGGCTAGAGTAACAGAGCGGGAAGGGCTCCCTAGGAACCAGTTGGTAATTAGGATACTGACTGGTCTTTCTTTTCAGGTTCTCTCTTTTAAACACACGTTGTTCCCTTTAAAACTGCACTAGTTAACAGAAGGCAGATTATCCAGGCATGCCCCCTCTTCCCCCACACCCCCATTAGCTAGGAGCTAGGGCTGTAGAGCAGCAAACTTACTATTAGTTTTTGAACAAAGTGAAATGTTTTGTGTTTTAAATCTAGGTTTTGTGTCGCTATTAAGAAAGAGAACTACCCTGACTACTTGCCTTTAAACATGGTGTCTGGCAATGCCATGCAGGTGTTCCGACAGCCTGGCCACACAGTCTACTTACTGCCCACCATGGTCCTAACAAACCTACTGCCCTGCGAGCTGTGCTACTACATCAAAGGCACCTCCATCAGTGGCCCGCTGAAACGAGGGAAGGATGCAGTGCTGCACACAGCTGACACCTCACAGAACATCGAGCTCGGTGAGACCTGAGATTGTCCCTTGGTTTTGCATTTCACTTGCCTTAATCTCATGGGAAAGGAGAGAACTTTGGCTTAATTTAAGGGAACCACGATTTAAAAATTATACATAGTTAAACTAACAAAGAACTATTTCCTTATGTTTTTTCACTGGTGCTTGAAAATAGCTTGAAAGAATGATTTGATTTGATTTGATGGGCTCTTATGAGTTATTTCACCCGTATCATAAAGGAAGTTAGTGAAGTTTGTCTGGATGAGCAGTGATTGTGGTTTAGATACAGAATGCTGCTATTAAATAGTTTATTTCACAATGGAATGCACCAATAAACCATATACATTTACTAACAGAAGAAGGGCATTTGGCCAATTGTGGCTCTTTTAAAGAGCAATTCTTTCAGCCCGTTTACAACAACAGCTTGCATTTATGTAGCGTCCTTCTAGCAGGGTAGTGCTTGGCATTGACAGAGCACGACACCAATCATGTGGCAGTTGACCGTAAGCACGGTCAAAGAGGAAGATATTCAGGAAGGTATTCATCTGAAGATGAGGAAGCAAGGGGCAAGGCGGAGGGAAAGAGGAAGAGTGTTTCAGAGGTTTGGAGTATAGTGGCTGAGGTGGAGGTAGGCAGTCCTGGTCAGGGACCGGATGTGGGGAAGGAAGGAGAGCTGTGGGTCGAACTTGACGCATAAATTACGCTCCAGTTCAGTGAGGCTGAGGGATAGGCCAGGGAGGTTGAGGAGGTCGGAGCCACACAACCGAAGATATTGATGGGAGCCAAGGAATATGGCTTCCATCTTGTCGCCATTTAGTTGCAAGCCGTTTACGCTTAGCCAGGCCCTGATGTCTGCCGGACAAGCTGACACAACATCAGCCTTACCTACCCTTTCCCCATACCTCATGCAGGTCCTCTTCAATAAGAAAAACTCATACAAGAAGACTGTTCTCAAAACCCTTGCTTTTTTTCATTCTCGTCAGGAATTACATTGGAAAATTTCCCCACGTGCAAAGAGCTTCTGATCCCAGCAGGAACCGCTAACTACTACGTCCGTATGCGACTCTACGACACCAAAAAGCGGCTGCTGAACTTGAGCATTCGGATCGTGTGCAGAGCAGAGGGCTCTTTGAAGATGCTCATCTCTGCCCCTTACTGGCTTCTGAACAAAACAGGTCAGAACAAAGGGCAAAAACCCCAAATTACAAACGGACACGGCTACAGATATTGTATTGAGATGAATTTGCGGAGAGATGTTCACAGGTCCGCTGGCTGTGATTCCTTCCCCCAGGGCTGCCACTCATTTTCCGTCAGGACAACGCCAAGGCTGACGCCGCTGGGCAGTTTGAGGAGCACGAGCTTGCACGCAGCCTGAGCCCCCTACTCTTCAGCTTCGCAGACAAGGAACAGCCCAACATGTGAGTACACCAACAATAACAACTTGCATTTATATTGCGCCTTTCACAAGGGGTACGATCTCCGTCACTGAGCCGCTTAAATAATAATAATCTTTGCATTTGATATAGCGCCTCATCATGTCTTCGAGACGTCTCAAAGTGCTTCTCAGAATGTACTGTAAAGTGAGTTGACTGTATATTTTGTGGGTGAAGCACAGCAGCCAATTGCGCACAGCAGCGTCCCACAGTCGTGGATTGAAGTGAGCAATTTGTTATTTTTTAAAACACTAGAAAGGTAGGATGAAAAGTTTTTTTTCAGGCAATTTCACAAGCTCCTTGTTTCAATTAAACACTCAAGACAGCAGAGCCCAAAATACACCAAAGCATAGAATAATGGCATGTTTCAGCACAGGATGTCATTAGCCCTGTGTCCGCTCCCTGTAAGAGACACCCCATCTCCTGCCCTTTCCACACAAACCTGTATATTGTTCTTTTTCAGACCACTATTTATTTCCACTTGGTGGTGAGTCCAAAGCAAGGGGCATAAATTTAAGCTAGCCAGTAGCAGATCTGAAAGAGAGTTTTGGACGACTTTTATTTAGACAGAGTGTAGTGAGAATGTGGAACTCACTGCCAGAAGTATTGGCTAAAGCAGAAAGTATCATTGTTTTTAAGAGGAAACAATGCATACTTGAGGGAGGGAGTAATATTAGGCTTGTGTGGGGGATATAAACACTGGCAATGACAGTTGGACCGGGTGCCTGTTTCCATGTTGTATCACTCTATGTAACTAATGTTCATCTAATTCTCTTTTAAAAGGCATTTCAGATTCTGCTTCAACCAGATTCATTGGTAAAGTGCTCACTCCACATCCTAATAAAATTTTGTGTGTGTAAATAAATAAAGAAACAAACAAACTAAAAAATTCAAGTCTAACCTCTCCCTTTCCTTTTTTTATGATAATTTTAAATTGATGCTGTCCAGTTACCAACTAGTAGAGATATTTTTATCCCTATATATCACTATCTCAAAAGCCCTCACTCTGAACACCTCTGTCAGGTAACCTCTTAACCTCGCAGTTCAGATCTTGCAGAATTTCCCGTTACTATATAAGGAAAGCTCCCACATTTTGCCAGGAAAGACCTTACACGACAAACAACAGGGAGGTGCACTGTCTCTCCACTTGTGATTGGATTTATCTCTCCATTCACTTTCACTGTGTACCAGGTGTACCATGCGAGTCGGAAAGGGGATTCATCCCGATGGAATACCCGGCTGGTGTCAGGAATTCTCTCCGGATGGAGGGAGCGGGGTGCGAGCTGTGAAAGTGATTCAGCACGGAAACAGGCCGGGACTCATTTACAGCATCGGTGAGTCTTATTGAGAAAGGTCCCAACCCTCAGAGCATGAGATGTTCAGGGATCATAGGCAGGAGGAGGAGGAGAAGGAGGAAAAAGTTAAGTATAAATCAAAAGCTAATTGCGGAAATAATTTCCTGAGATATTTAACAACAAATTGCATTTATATAGCGCCCGCCTTTCACATCAGGATGGCATTCCAAGGCACTGGAAAAAAATCAAACAATTTTTTACTTCAGTGTCCACCTGAAGAATAAGTAGTGCACACTGGTTTAATATCTCAACACAAGGTACCCACAACAATGCAGCACCTTTGCAGCTCTATGTACTGCACTGCACTGGAGTGTCCTCGTGTCAGCCAGACTGAGCTCAAGTCAAGGTGGAGCATCAACCCACAACCTTCTGACCCAGAGGCAAGACTGAGTCAAAATGACCAACTGATTTTGAGTTTGATAACGCAGAGATCTGCATCTATACACTTTTACCTTTCTGCTTAGGTATCGACATCAGGAAGGGTAGAGGGCGCTACAGAGAAACCAACATTGTGACCTTTGCACCACGGTATCTGTTGGACAACAAATCTTCCCACAAGTTGGCATTCGCCCAAAGAGAATTTGCCAGAGGCCAGGTACGTGTATGTGCATGTTTGTGTGTGTGTGTACACGTGTGGAATGTAGTGTGTGTGCTTCCAGGTTACCATCTGCATCCAAAGCAACATGAGAGAAAATAATAAAACTGCCTGAGAAATAATTATCAGGAGGAAGTCCCAAAGCGCTGGGTTATGAAGGTCTAAACCCAGCACTTTGGGATGGCTTAAAAAAAGAAACAAGAATAAATGTCAACGTAGTGTTGGGACACCTCGCCACGTAAAGTGAGACTCCTGCAGGGAGCATAGGAAGTCTGCGTTGCCAGTTTATTAGATTGTGGCCTTTTTTCCAGTCTTTTAGACCCCTCCATTTCAAAGAAAGGTTTCTGTGTTCAATTTTCGCCCTTCTTTATTTGTCATAGCAGCCACGTGAGCTGTGCTCTGAGCTGAGGCCTTGCAGGTCAGTGTGACACACATCGGCTTCCCTGGAGGAAATACACTTTACATCCCTGGGATCCCCCTGCGAGTCCATTTCCCCAACCAGCACTAATTGTGACCTATTGCATGTTGTTTCAGGGAACCCAAAATCCAGAGGGTTACATCTCCACCCTTCCTGGCGCCAGTGTTGTGTTCCATTGGCCGAGGAATGATTACGATCAGCTGCTCTGTGTGCGCCTGATGGACGTTTCCAATTGCACGTGGTCAGGGGGCTTCGAGATCAGCAAGAACAACTCATTCCACATCAACATGAGGTAAGAACAGAAGCAGGGATTCTCTCCGCTCAGCTCCTGTTAAACACTGCAAGCTAAAGGCCAAATGGCTAGGGTGGTCCTAGCTGGACGAGCAATGAGAAGCTTGCCAATGCAAGCTATATGGTTTTGTCTGCTTAAATCCCAGCAGTTTCCCTAACGTACACTCTGGGGTCCCCAAACCTTCGCTCTTACCAACCTGCACCTAATACTCTCCGGAATTAGCTAGGTGGATGCATTTCTCCAGGGACAGAGTGTGCATTCCATTTCAGACACGGAAATGTCCATGTATATGTGGCAAATATATATAGAACTCTGTCTTTCACGCAGTGATGAGTTTTCACGTGTGTTAGTCACCGGGCTGAACAAAACGGAAAGGACAGAACCTCCCAAGCAGGAGACCCGAGGGATTCTGTTTTGAAAGAAGGTTTAAATTAGTTTCTCTGGCATCTGAAGCCCGAAATTCCTCATGGTACAGGATTCCTTATTGGGTCTTGTAGCGTATTGGTTAAAGCATTTGCCTCGCAAGCGAGAGGACCCGAATTCGATTCCCCGGCAGGGCGAAACGTTAGGCAAGTTTCCTTACTCCACACACCTCTGTTTACATAGCAGGAAGTTGGAACCCGTTAGTTAATCGATTGGTGGATCGCTTTTCCAGGGATATTAATCCCTTTTTAAGAATATAATAATAAATTGGTCACTCAATCCATGACTGTTTGTGGGACACTAATGTGCACAATTGGTTGCCGCGTTTCAAAATTTACACTCAATTCACATTACAGTATATCCTCTGAAGGGCTTTGAGATATCTTGAAGCCTTGATAAGGTGCTAATATCAAATGCAAGGACTATTATGGTTTTAGCCATACTCGTATTGTCATTGAAGGTTACAGCCCAAAAATGGCCATTCAGCCCATCAACTTTGCTTCAAACTTTTGCAAAGAAAAAATTATTTGGTGTTAAATTCACACTCAAAAGTGAAGATTAATTCACTATCTAACTGATTGTTTGGGGATGTTCCTGGTGCAAATCAGCTCCTGCTGTGTTTGCCTCCAGGACAACATTGATTTCATTTATGATTGATTTCATACAGTGAAGCACTTTGAGATGTTTCTTTTATATCAAAGTCATCAAGTAAAAAATGTACATTATTATGGTCTTGAAAGAGAAGAAATCACAGAGACAAACTTACAAGAACCCATCAACAATCTTGGCCTGGATAGATGTCTGAAGGCTGTTGACCTGTAGAACTGTGTTTCTGTCCTCCTCGTGTTGGTTTGCTCGTTGCTCAGTTTCCGCCTCAGTCGGGCGCCTAATCAGCTGCTAATTGTTGCTGTTTTCTGCAGAGATACTCACGGAAACTGCCACTTCCTGCATGTTGAGATCACGCTGAAAGGAGCAACGTACCGGATCGCCTTTGGGGACTCAGAGCAGCTGCCCCCACCATTCCGCATCGACAACTTCTCAGAGGTGAGGAACCTTACAACAACAATAACAACAACTTGCATTTATATAGCAACCCTCACACAGAGTAACATCCCAGAGTGCTTACAGCAGTGTTACAGCGCTCTATCTCCATACAGATCTCTATCAGCTCAAACAGGTGGAAAACTTGGAATCTGATGTGAAGGTTTATACCATTGCCAAAAAGTAGGATTCCAACCTGTGTTTAGTTATCAACAGAGTTTGAAGTGAACACTTCCTCCCCCTCCTCAAGCCAAGACCTCCAGGCCATCATCTCTTTTGTGTTGCTCAGTCACTATCTCTCAGACCTGCTCCGCACTCATTGAGTTTGGTCGGTAGTTCATGCAGCAGGACTGAAAGATGCAAGGTGCAAACGTAGGTGGAACTCAAAACCCTGTTAAAACTCTTTTTGACTGTGCCTTTAGACAATGCTCTCAATCTCCCCTTCCTTCTCTTCCTGCCTGATGATACCCCATCATTGAATGGTGAAAAACTTTGATATTCACCCTCCATGTTTATCGCTGAATTCCGTGTTTTGACTTCTCTATTGTGTTAATTTCAGGTCCCAATTATTTTTAACCAGCATGGGGTAGCGGAGCCCAGACTGAAGACAGAGGTGAAACCAGCCACCTCACTAGACTACGCCTGGGATGAGCCCGTCCTTCAGCCTTTCATCACACTGACAGTGAAGGGGGCAGGATCTTCAGAAATCACCTGCGACATGAACGACTTCAAAGAATCCAAACAGCTCTTCTATGAGAATTTCATCTACATTGCTGCTTCTCACACCTTCTCAGGGTATGAGTCATTATTTAATCTTCTCCAAACCTTTCAGAGTTCGGAACTCAGGGAAATGGGGGGGAAGCACAGCAGTTTGATGGTTGAAGGATAGAAACAAACAACTACAAATTACATTGTCTGGAGGATGTCTCCCGCCTGACCTGTCCTAGCATCGGTGGCCGGGCTTTCAGCCTCTCTGCTCCCACACTCTGGAACTCCATGCCACGGTCCCTTCGCCTCGCTTCCTCCTTTGCCTCCTTCAAGGCCGGTCTCAAGATCCTTCTCTTTGACCGTGCCTTTGGTCTCCCTCCCACCTCTCTGCCTTCCTTCACCCCTACACTACCCCTCCCCCATGCTCGGGCCCCGACACTTGACTGTTCAGGGCTTTGGGACGTCCTCCCGACGTGAAAGGCGCTCTATAAATGTCTTTTTGTTGTTGTTGTTGACGTCCCAAGCGCTGGGACGTCAGAAAGCAGAGAGAAGGGCTAAAAATTAGTTTTTTTCCAGTTGGAGCAAGATAGTTAGTGGGTTGCCACAGGGGTCTGTGCTGGGGCTTCTTTTCAAAATACTTTTTTAAACTTTTACCTTTGTTTTTTAAATTCAGAGTGGAGGAACCTTCCGGAAGACCAGTTGCACGAAGCTCGGGAAATAAAAGCATCAGCCGGGCAGAACTGGTCCTGGACATCGTGTCTAAAACAGGCAGAGTGATACTGAAGAAAAAGGTCAAAAACAACAACAACTTGTGTTTATATAGCGCCGCTCACGCAGGGGATTTTCATGAAAAAAGGGGGTGGGCACTGATTCGTGAGGTGTGCCAACACCAAAAAGCATAAAACAAGGCACAGCGACCCTCCCGTATCGGTATCTCCAAAGTCTGATATGGCCCCTTGTGGCGAGGGCACGTGGGGGCAGAGTGCGAGCACGCTCACCATCTCTTGGTGGCAGCTTTCCTCTCCAGGCTCTCAGCGATCACATTGTATGTCTAGTCACGGTGCGGAGTGTGTCTGTGCAAGGAGGAGATAAGCTGTGACTGCGGTGAGAGGATGATGTTTGTGAGTCAGTACCTATACGGCTGAGGTGTGGCTAAGCTCAGATCAGTCAATTCATGGAGGACCAGTTCTGGCCATCACTACAGAGGCAGGGCGGGCAGGAAACATGGAGCAGGCCAGAGCCTGCTGAGCGAGGGAGCGGACAGGTTGATAAGGGGTTAGCAGTAAGTGGTTGGTCAGGGCTGGTAACGTTCTCTCTTAATTCTGGTAACGTGCAGGAGCCGGGGAAAAGATCACAACTTTGGCGAATGACTGTCAGCGGGACCCTGTGCCACGAGGGCTCATCTCCTCCTCACAACCCCAACAAACCCTCCTCCGGTAGACACAGTAACTCCGGGCTGGTGCTGGACATTGCCAGCCTGGCGGGAGTTACAGATAACAGGTAACTTAGACGGGCGAGGGTGGGGTGAGAAATACGAGACATTGGTTCCTATAAGAGCAAGTTTCTTTATTAATCATACTCTTCTTTGATACCATCTGTGTATTGATGGGAAAACACAAACATAAAGTGTGCAGTCAATTCACGTTACAGTCTATTCTGTGATGCGCTATGAGACGTCTCGAAGGATTATTATTATTATCTACAACGCTTTTCTACAGTTCATTTTAAGAACCTTGTTAGCATATCTCAAATTGAAGAATTACAGATTTTTACACTAAATTTTAAGCGTTAATGCTAAAACCGGAAGAAATTCTGAGGCCCTTTCCTTGTCTGTATGTCTTAGTGCTACACCCCATAAATATGTTCTTAACCCATGAGAGGATTCTGCTTTGGTTTTGTATTCACGTAATGATACATCGTGTTAGCGTATTTATAATGAGCTGGTTTCTCCCGTTCTATCTTCCACAGCTGCGAGCCTCTGGTGCTGAAAAAGCCAGACAAGCGACGAGGCTCCACCCAGACCTGGTGTTTCCGGGATGGGCAGCTTGCCTGTGGTATGCCAGGAATGGTGGTACAGGTGAGACGGTGCCATGGATACCTGATGCTGATATATATAGATGCACAAAGTTTAGAAGCTGCTTTTTTTTTTGCACCTAAGTGTTTGAGCCGGTGGTGGAGATGAGAGAAACGCAGGGTGAAGATGGGGCAATGGGTGGTGGGACACGTCACCGTAATATTTATCCTGTTAAAAAGTGCTACCCGGTTTCTGTGCTCTTACTTATCCAGGCAAAGGGCAGGGGTTCAGGCCTGTACGACGGGGCCGAGGTGGTCCTAGGCCCCGAGCCCTCCGCCGGGCTGTTAGAACCAGTACCAGCCGAGCAGCAATTCAGCAACCAGAAACTGAGGCCGGGCTCCGGTGTGCTGGCATTGAGGGTTATTCCTGATGGTCCAACACGAGTTTTACAGGTAACCCAGCTCTGATCAACCACTTACTGCTAACTCTATATCAACCTGTTCGCTCCCTCCGCTCAGCAGGCTCCAGCCTGCTTCAGGTCCCCTGCCCTCCCCACCATCGGTGGTCGGGCATTCAGCCTCTCAGCTCCATCCCATAGTCCCTTTGCCTCACTCCCTCCCTTGCCTCCTTCAAGGCACGTCTCAAGACCCGCCTCTTCAACCGTGTGATCGGACACCCTCCTACCTTACACCCTCTGTTATCCCACCTCACATCCCCAGCTCGGGTCCAAATCCCTGACAGCCCAGCACCTTGGGACAGCCTCCCGACGTGTATAACATTGCCGTATAAATGTCATTTTGTATTGTACTGATTCCATCACAGTATTTTTACAGCACGACCACTAGGGATACTCTTTCCAATAGAGTCATATGAGGTCCCATCTGCCGCTTCGGGTGAGCTTAAGAAGAGACCTTCAAGTCATCCAGAGAATAGAATCTCTGACAAAAGAGTCGCACCACCAGCACTGCACTGCATTGTCCAGCTAGATTGTAAGCTCCAGGCCGATGCAGGGTTTGAGCCTACAACCTACTGGCCCAGAGGCAAGAGTGTTACCAACCTAGCCAAGCTCACATGTAAATGTAGTTTTGGGAGGAGGGTTTCATTCAATTTGTGATTGCAGAACAGCACTGACTCCCATCCTTGATCCTGTTCAATACTTTACTGCTGATTTTTTGTCGTTGATCCAGATTACTGACTTACAGCAGCGCAGAAGCAATCGTTCCCTCACAGGAGCTGAAGACTGTCTGACACCAGAAATCAGCGAAGTTAGAAAGATGAAGAATCTGGAAGCAAAGCAAGAGCTGGAGGTGCGGTACAGCAATGGTTTACATGTGCATTGTATGAAGGCTAAACACCAGGGTTCCTTTATTTGTAACTTCTGTGAGTTTTCAGGTTTTGGTGAAACTGGATGGAGGGATCGGCTTGTCTCTGATCAGCAAAGTCCCCGAGGAGCTGGTGTTCACCAGTTTAACAGTGATAGACATTCATTACACACAGACTGTGGGCAGCCAGATGCTGGAGCTCAGCATTCAGGACATCCAGGTAAAGGCATCTCTCAGACCACACTGACCATCGTGGAGGGAGGGGCCTCTAAATGTTAGCATGTCGTTTCCCAGAACCTCAGTAAGATCCCACACGATCATGAGGTTCAGAAGGCTCTTCAGACCATTTGATTTTGTCCTTCCAAAATCCACATCCTAACCATCCTCCCATTAAAGCAATGAGCTGTTTCTTGCACAAGTCCAGTAACCGAGCTTCAATGACCCTCCTTGGTAACCCTGCTCCAACCAATGATTACCGGGGACAATAGAAAATTGCGGAAATATTTGCTAAAAATTGCAAGGGTTGATTCATGCTGTTGAGGGGTACATTTTAATACTAACTTCCACTTTTTCATGTTATTGATAAAAGTAAAACATGAATAAATAGCACATAATAGATTGTTTCAAAAAGAAATTATTAATTCTTTCTTTAACATGCAGACCCCCAGAGAGAAAGAGATGTAGACACACACACACACGCTCACAGACACAGAATGAGACACACACACATTCACAGAGAGAGAGAGAGAGAGAGAGACAGACACTGAGAGACACACAGACACAGAATCTCATCAGTGGGAGCGAAGCCCATTTCCTGACCAGGCTGCTAAATAGAGACAATTTAAAAGGTTCCAGGGAAGAGCCCCCTATTAAATGTGATTTTTGCATTGAGTGACACAGTGACGTGGACAAATCTCGTCAGTGCATCTTTGGTTGATTTGAGTAAAATAGCCAGGCGTGTTTCATTTATTTTATTGCATGCTTTTAAGATTCTTCTCTTTCCTCTCTCAAGATTGATAACCAGCTCTTAGGAACAACACAACCTATATTGCTGTCCCTGACGCCCAATAGTGTGGAAAATGAGACGGATTATGTGGAAGCGGGACCTGCCGTACAGATCAATGCTATGCAGATCCCCAGCAAGAGCCCACTCACAGAGCTCTTCAAGGTGAGGCTTCACTGAACTGCTGTTCAGGTTCTCTGCCACCTGCAGGACAATTTAGTGGGCAGCCTGGCTCGGTAGCATTCTCACCTCCCTCTGGTTAGATTTTCTCTCTGTCTCTCTCTCTCTCTTTCTGGATTCCAGACCTGCATTGGGAATTGGTTATCTCTGAGACTGCAATGCAGGGAGTAGCTGTGTCTCTGACACTGTAATGTAGTGACTGTTTCTCTGACACTGTGATGCAGTGAGTGGCTGTGTTTCTCTCTGCAGCATCTGATGATCACCGTGCGGAAGCTGTCGGTTCAGATTGAAGAAAAGCTCCTGTTGAAGCTGTTGAGTTTCTTCGGTTTAGGACAGCTAGACCAAGGTACGAGACAAAAAGAATCCTTACATTTGATACAGCGACTTTCACGTCGCTCAAAGCACTTCAGAGAATGTATTGTAAAGTGAAGTGACTGTGTTTTATAAGCAGGTATTTTGCACACAGCAATGTCCCACAAACAGCCATAAAGTGAGTGACCAATTATACCTGGACGGTTGTTGACCCAGGCCATCGGGAAAGAGAAACTCCTTGGGATCTTCAACATCCATCTAAATTCGGTTCAATGTCTCATTAAAATGACAGCACCTCTACCGATGCAGCAACCCTGCTCCCCCCACCGCATGCACCCCCCCCCCCCCCCCCGTGACTCATTGCACTGTCAGCCTCGACTGTGTGAGCTCAAAGTCTTGAGGCTGCATTCTTCTGACTCAGAGGGAAGAGCCAATAAAATGAACCTGGCTTGTTTGCCACACAGTGCTCTCAATTGCAAGCTGTGGTTTTAGCTAGGCAACTTGAGCGGTACCTCCAACCCAGACTCTGGATTGTTTAGGGTTACTGCTGGGTTTTTTAGTGCAGAATTGAGGATAGCACTGATTCTAAATTACCCTTATAATAATATAATAATCCTTGCATTTGATATAGCGCTTTGAAACGTCTTTGAAACGTCTCAAAGCGCTTCACAGAATATACTGTAAAGTGAATTGACTGTGTATTTATGGGTGAAACGCGGCAGCCAATTGCACACAGCAGTGTCCCACAAACAGTCGTGGATTGAGTTACCAAATTATTATAGTGTTTTTATGCTTGAGGGATTATTATTAGGGGTGTGGAGTAAGGAAACTTGCCCAAGGTTTCGCCCTGCCTGAAATGCTGTACACTGACGTGAAAGGCGCTATACAACTGTAATCTTGTTGTTGTTGTTGCTGGGAATCGAACCCGGGTCTCTCGTTTGCAAAGCAAGTACTCTAACCGCTGAGCTACAGAACTCTAAACCCTACTCTTGTATTAATGTCCACATTCTTGTGTCCCAAGTGATCTACCTTGCACTCAATCTGCTGACGCTCTGCTCACTGTCTGATCTGCCTTTCCCTGTGTGATTTTCTGTTCTTTTCACACTATATTAAATGTTCTATTCAGTGCCAGCAACGACATTCTGCATGGTTTCAGCTGGCAGTGCACCTGGGCTTCTTGTGTGCTGGAGGAACAAAAGATTGCGACACTCGCCACCCAAGTGAAATAACTCTCAGTTGATTAGGAAATTCTGTGCTTGGTTACGGAAGACGTTCAAACAGCTTTCGGGCTGATTGAAGAGATAATCATTCATTTTTGCACCCCCAGTCAACCAGGTGCTGAACTGGGGTTCAGCAAAACAAGCAGCATCAGGGATAGTTATGGGACCGTATCCTGGTGAGGGGCGCTGTATAAATGAAAGTTATTGTTGTCGTTTGACTCCTTTCTCCCCTACCCCCATCTCGCCAAAACGATCAGAGGTAAAGCCAACACCAGACAGGGCAGGGCTCACAACCGTAGCCGAGTGAGAAATGAAGATGTCGAAAGTGTGGAAATATAATTAGCTCCTGTGATATTGGAATTTGCATCACTGCAATCCCAGGGGCAGTGAGAGAGAGATAACACTCAATATTCCTGTAATAATAATCCTTGCATTTGAAACAACTCTTTATCACATCTTCGAGACGTCTTTAAGCGCTTCACAGAATATACAGCAGTGTCCCACAAACAATCATGGATTGAAGAGATTATTACGCCCGGGAAAAGCCCATCCGCCAATGGACTAACAACCAGGTTCCGACTTACTGCTAAATTCAGGATTTGCACAGTTTTCAAATGACCCTCAAGCTGCTCTGCATTCCACAGAACAAATCCACAGTGAATATTTAGTTAATTCTATGGAACATCATAAATACAAATCTCTGTAAATATATAAATCCAAAAGTATACCCAACCCATGAGATGTGTTTCACAGCTTCGTAGCCTCACCGTGTGTGAACGAGGGTGCGGAAGTACCACAATGCTGGTGAATTGTACATTTCCACCGTGTTTTCTGGGGTATTCAAGTACGGCTGGGTGTATTGCTTGTTTACTATTGTATTTCTTTATACCACCAAAAAACCTGATAACTTTCACTCCACCACCTTCCGACATGAAATGCGCTATACAAATGTAATGTTGTTAATGAAATCGAAGAGCTGAGTACCTTGGGCAAGTTTTCTTATTCCACACGCCTGATAATAATCCCTCAAGGAAATAAATAAAATAACAATTTGGTCACTCAGTCCACGACTGTTTGTGAGACACTGCTGTGCGAAATTAGCTGCCATGTTTCGCCCACAAATATATACAGTCAATTCACTTTAGTTATTCTGTGAAGCGCTTTGAGACGTCTCAAAGATGTGAAAAGCACTATATCAAATGCAAGGATTATTATTATCATCGCTCAGATTTCCAATGGAAACGTAATTGCTATGACTCCTGCCTCTGTACCCTCTCCCTTCCTCTGGTAGATGTGGAAAAGCCGGATGAGAATGCCCTGGAGCATCACAGTGACCAAGGGGGAACCCTAAAACGCTACTACTTCGAAAACCTCAAACTCAGCATGCCACAAATCAAGATGAGCGTTTTCACTTCCAACAAGCTACCGGCCGACCTCAAGGTGAGTTCCTGACGTGGAGAAAGAGGATGATTTAAACGTTAAATCCCATGGGTGTCCATGTCAGGCAGTTTGTGATCATGCTCACCAGGGGTCGCTATAGTCCTTCTCCTGCAACAGGTCAAATAATCCTGCTAAGTGATGGCTATAGGGAACACCTCCAAGCAAGAGGCAATGAAAGTGCAACAAGCTGGTTTCTTATAGAATCTGTTTTACAGCCCAGGAAACGGCCACTACGCCCGTCCAGTTTTATTCCACCTGAGCCGTCCAATCATAAGAACATAAGAAATGCAAGATGAAAAAAAGACCAAGGTCCATCAAGTTCACCTTCCACCTTCCTGGCGGTCTTACTGTATCCCATAATGTTATTTCCTAAAAGAAAATGATCTAATCTGTGTTTGAAGGAATCAACACTTCCTGCTTCAACCGTCTCCCTAGTTCAACAGTCCAACCCGCTCTCCTCATCCCAGCACCATTCCCTTTAATATTTCAAGCAAACTAGACTAGACAAACTAGACAATGCATTGAAATTACTAATTCCTTTCATGCTGGGAGGTTTTCTCAAAGCACCTCACAGGATTCACTATAACGTGTTGTGACTGTTTGTTTGTAGGCGAACACAGCAATATGGCACAAACAGCCATGAAATGAATGACAGATTTGATCTAATTTTATATAATTCTCATGCAAAAGAATTTCCAGGCTCTGCCCTAGCAGTGGTTTGAATAATTCGTTTGTGTTATTGTCATCAGAAACCCATGAGCAGATGGCATCCCAGAAATTACTCCAGAGATTTCTGTTATTTTCTGATCATATTAAACTCATGATCGATATTTTTTTCTCTTCCTTTCATCATCTTGTGTTTTTGCCCTTTCAATATTTTGAACTTTCCTTCTCCTGTCCTGCAAATGTTAGTGTATTGAGTCCTGGCCAATATTCCTACCTGGTTTAAATGTGTGGTAAATTACTCAAAATTAATTTGGCTTATCTACATGACAAGTCCAATGACCTTCTTCTGTGCTGTAAATTTCTAATTGTTTGCAGGATGTTGCTGGTGTAGGTTAGCTGCGTGTTTGTCTCCCTGATAACATTCTATATTGAGAAAGTTTATTATTTAGTTCCTGATTATAGGATAAAATCAGTCATTCACCTGGCCGTTTGCTGGCAATTGCTGATGCTATTGCTGTGCCGTTTGTCCATAAAAGACAGTCACAACATTTTATGGCAATTAACCAATGAAGTTTAATGGTGTTTCAATGCAATTCAATGCTCAATAATACCGCTTTCTGGGATGAAGTCATGTTTGCGGGTGTGTGGTTGGTATCCATTGTGCTGTTACTCTGTTACAGGCTTTAAAGAGCGTGCTGGGGATCCGCTTGATCCGATTTGAAGATGCAGTGATTCACTTGGACCCTTACACCCGAGTGCACCCGTACGAGACCCAGGAATTTATCATCAGTGACATTCTCAAGCACTTTAAGGAGGTGGGTGTCAACCCGGACCAGCGGGTGGACAAGGCCCGCAATGCAGTCAGTGAGAGTTGAGTTACGTTGATACGCTGTGGAGCAGCACCTCCAACAGCTGATGTTTTAAGCCTAAGAAATGATCGTTGGGTATCAGACCAACAGCAAGGTCCACGTAGATAATCTCAAATTGTGGAAACATATCACCACTTTTTTACTGATGGCTCTGGCAATGCTCAGGTCTTATTATAACCGTTCACCTAAATGCAGGATTTCTCAGTAAATTCCCGTGAATCATAGAATCGTACAGCACAAAAAGAGGCCATTCGGCCCATCGAGTCTGTGCGGCTCTTTGAATAGAGCAATTAATGTCAATCCCACTCCCCGGCCCTTTCCCCATAACCTGCAAACCTGTCCTCCTCAAATACCCGTCCACCGCGTTTTTAAAAGTTGTCATCGAATCGGCCTCGACTGCCCTTTCAGGCAATGCGTTCCAGATTCGAACAACTCGCTGCGTGAAAACATTTCTTCTCCCCTCCCCTCTGCTTCGTTTAGAGACTCTTTTGAATCTGTGACCTCGAGTCACCGACACACCCACCAGTGGGAACAGTTTTTCTCTTTCCAACCTGTCAAATCCCCTCATGATTTTGAAGCCCTCTATTAGGTCCTCGTAACCTTCTCTGCTCCAATGAGAATAATCCCGGCCTCTCAGGCCTTTCATCATCATCACGGTCCCTCATTCCTGGTCCCATCCTCGTAAATCTCCTCTGTGCCCTTTCCAATGCCTTAACATCCTTCCTATAGTGCAGTGCCCAGAACTGGGCGCAGTATTCTAACTGAGGCCTAACCAGTGTTTTGTATCGGTTAATGATAACCTCCTGACTCTTGTACTCTATGCCCCTATTTATAAAGCCTAGTATCCCATATACCCTTTTTACAGCTGTATCTACCTGTCCTGCCACCTTCAAGGATTCATTTACCTGCACCCCCAGGTCTCTCTGTCTCTCTTCACCCCCCCCTTAAGATTGTATTACCGCCTATATTGCTCCCCTCATTCTTTCTACCACAATGCATTGCCTCACATTTCTCCACATTGAAACTCATCTGCCATGTGTCGCCCATTGTACCATTCTGTCTATGTCTTCCTGCAGTCGGCTCCTATCCTTCTCGCTGTTTACCCCCTCCCTAACTTTGTATCTATGAGCTTGGTTAGCTTCAAGTGTGACAGTGGACTTGCAGCACAGTTCAGGCTGACGCTCCAATGCAGGGGGAGAGCTAAAATGTTCGAATTTCCATCTTTCAGGCATCACGTTAAGTCGTGGTGCTGTTTGCCTGTCGTGGGCATTTCAGACATTTAATACATTTGTACAGCGCTCTTCGCACAGGAGAGCGTCTCGGAGCTCAAGCTAGCGTTCCACAAGCTAAATGGTCTTTTCGTTTGAAATCTAGGAGTTGATGAGTCAGGCGACCCGAATCCTGGGCTCGGTTGATTTCCTGGGGAATCCAATGGGGCTCCTGAACGACGTGTCGGAGGGCGTCACAGGACTCATCAAGTACGGGAACGTGGGAGGCCTGATCAGGAACGTTACCCACGGGGTCTCCAACTCCGCAGCGAAGGTACGGCACACCAGCAAATAAAACCATGGCAACTGAGGCCTGAAATAGTAATAATAATAATCCTTGCATTTGACTTAGTGCCTTATAATGCCTTCTAGACATCTCAAAGCGCTTCACAGAATATATTGTAAAGTGAATTTACTGGATATTTTTTGTGGGGCAAAATGCCTCTTGGTTTGAGATGTTTCAGTGCGTTGAGATGCTATGACAGACACATTTTCTCTCTAGCTTGTTTATAGTAGCCTTAAGAACTGTTGACTTAACATTTTTAAGATCCTCCTGAATTTTGGGAAATTCTTATTTTGTCTCGATTCGGAAGCTGGCTTTCCACAAGTCGTTTAAGAAACCAATTTCCTAGTTATGATTAGATTGAAGAATTGTCCAAATTTCTGAACAATTTCAAATTTTATAAAATAATAAGAATTTGCTAGCTGGAAAAAAACAGGTCCATCTAGTTCACCTTCCACCATCCTGGCAGTTGCTTGGCATGCCCCAAACTATATACTGTTCCTGAGAAATTTTAAAGGCTTTAATAAAACCAAATAGAATTTGGGGCCTCTAATGTCGTATAAAGTAAATTTGTTAGTGTACAGATGTTTGTTCTAATCTACGGGATGACAGTTCAGCACAATACTTGGGGGAGGAGGCGTATTGTCTGTCTGATCAAGTGGGTGCTAAAGATCTCGCTTCACGATTGGAGAAGGAGTGGGGGAGCCAACCGGATAAATTAACCTCATGACTCTTTGTGGGAATGTGTTGTTGCAGATATTCCCTACACAGCAGTCACTACACTTGATAGTAATTGGTGTGAACCACTTTGAGATGTTTTCATTGTGATAAGATGCTTTGAAACACAAGTATTTCCAGCTGTTTTATGATCCCCGTGGATTCTGATGCATAATTTTAATGGTCTTAAAGACAGGGGTGCCACTGCAATGATCGTGAGCTGATTCCCAGCAGCTGTCTGATGTAAGTCACACTTGTGACAGTTGCTCGGGTGAGAGATTTTACAGTAGCCTAAGCATACACTTACACTGAAACACTAGACGTGATTGACTGTCATTTGTAGGGAAAATAGTTCATTATTATCCCCAATTTAACATCTTGTGGGCAGCAGTGATCAGTGGTGGAACAAAGGCTATTCAGGGTCTGGAATGCAGCAAGCTCGCAGACTGTCCCCTGGAGACCTAGAGTTCCAATCCAACCCACACTGCTGAAATGAAAGTATAGTAAGCAACGCTGATCTGCACACCAAATCATTGTCTCTCATGTTACTCAGATAGCTGTGCTGGGATGTTGTGAATAGGATCTAGGATAGGCACTCGTGCAGAAACTGGCTGGGCCGAATGGCCTGTTTCTGAGCTGCACCTTCTATGAGCCTACACAGGAAGACACACATACATATATAGAGAGTTGGAGAGCGAGACATGTTTGCAAAGACAACAAGGAAAACACACAGAGGTGGAGGGAGAGAGGAGAGCGTGTGTGCAGAATAAGAAAGGGAGAGACAAACACACAGATACACAAGCAACAATGCGCATTTTACAAATTGCATCTGGTTAAAACGTCTGAAAACAAATGCTTCTTGAATTGTGTTTTCTCAGAGCCAAAGAGCTTATGAGTATTATCTGTTCTTGTCATTTGGGGGGAGGGTAGCACACTCAGGCATTGGGTAGAGCTTTAGTTCATATAAAGTATAATTGATTTTCCATTTTGTCACACAGCTCGGAAAGGTAAACTCCTGTTTTAAGCTTAACCCACGGAGAGCAGTTCAACATATTTATCTTGGCACAAAGTTGAGGTTGAACGAGAGTTCACGTCAGCTGGCTCTGCACTTGTCCTTTTGGTAAACTGTCTTTAGGTTAAAAAGTGCTTTGATCCTAAATGTATTCACAAGAGAGCAATGATTCCTTTTCCAGCCTGGGCATTAAATATTCTGTTAGCTGTAATTTCATGACTTGTATCTAGTGGCAAAGATGAACTGGAGGATTGAGTGAAGTTGGACTTTTGTTGCTCAAGCAACAAAAGTTTTGTCCAAAGCGGTTTTAACGAGCCCTGTATGTTGAGGCTCACACAGTAAGCAAGCAACTGGCCTGTTTTACACTGGATCAACAAGTGTTTTGTTGTGAAATGGCTTCAGTGGGTCACGTCAACACTGTTTGTAATGCACTGTTGGCCTGCAGCTCACACAGAAATTGCTCGGAAACCAATTGCAAATCGTGGGCAAAGGATCCGCAACAGTTTGAAAACCGCGGCTTTATTATCTGAATTACCTGGAAAATGATTTAATCTGCTGGAGATGTAGTGAAGCCTGTGACCTTAGCCCCCTGCTGTACTTAGTGCTCTGCGCCTGGTCTGCAGCTTGTTTGTGTTGCCAAATAGGGAGAAATCGATTTCAGTGTAAGACCTGCTCTTTAGATGACTTTAACTGATGTTTCTTCAGCTTTGAAGGAGTTAAACTCTTGGGAGTATTTAAACGTGTCGACTCTGGAGCCATTCACTTACTGCACTTGCTGGTGTAGGACGTGGGGTTTGTTTTTACACTGGAATTACCATACGCTGTGAATAGGACATTCATATACACTACACTTTGGCAGCTATTACCTGCAAAATACTTTCTAGGCACCGTATCAGATACAAGGCTTATTATTTATTATTTACATTGTTGAACCCAGTGATTGCATATCCCAAACCGGGAGTATTCAGGCAAAGGGTTAGTTTTGTAATATGTTTGACATGTCATGTTTTTCAAAGGACGACTGTGATTCCAACCCCGTTTAAAGTTCGGTTAGAAGTTAACCCAAGCTTGAATTGAAACCCGCCCAATAGCACGTCACAGTTTTAATCCCGACCCCAGTGAGGAATTGTTTTGTTTTGAAGCGGTTCTGGGTGATGATGCTTTTAAAGTGGGGAGTTTCTGTTCTGTTCTGTTTAGCCTTTTAACCGGTACCGGGGGCTGTGCTACAGCAGGACTGAACGGGTTAAATGGTTTCATCTACTTGTTGCTATCTGGGAGAGTATATAGGATCTGAGTAACAAACTGTAGTTGGCCTCTGGATGAACCTGCGGTGGAGCCAGAGTTGGGGTCATTCCAAGTTCATACCGTGGACTTTTGACTGCCCTGCCCTGTGTTTGAACCGGTCGGGATCCCTACAGGGATCAGTCACTCACACCGGTAACACTAACCAATTTCCATCAGGCATCGGCATGGGGTAAATCAACAGGAGGTGCTCCAGGGAGCTCCCAACCTAATGGGGAATTTTTGGAGCGAGGCCAGCAGGGTGCCCCTGGGCTAGCCAGCTAAACAGCCATCCACACAAACGGTGGGGGGAGGCAAGGGGAGGGGTGCTCTTAGGCTAAATCACCAACGTGCTAGTGTCAGAATGCATTACTGCCCCCCAGCTAACGACGGAGGGGAGCTGATTAAGGGCTGGAGCTTAGAGAATGCGACAGGAAAAATAACAAGGTCTTTGGGAGCCTGGAAATAGCCACACGTTTGTTCAGTCATGCCTGGGGAAAGCAGTAACTCGGCCATTTGTTCCCTTCCACCAAAACAGCATGGCTGAGGCCAGCCAAATGTCCACGGAGAGAGGGCAGGGAAGCCTCCGTTTTCAAGGAGTCAGAATACAGAAAGCACAGTCCATACAGCCAGCCACAATGTTTGTGTACATGCTCTGCTGGTGATGGATGTTTTTCTGAACAAGACACCTAATTCTGAGAAAAAGAGTGCCATTTATCATATCAAAATATCTAAGAACTTGACGGGGAATTACTGGCAAGTGTGGTGACTGTTTTTTGCAGGCAGACACAGGAGCTGTTTTGGACACATAATCAGCAACGAGATGAAGGCTTATCATGGGGGATTGTTGGTCAGGACACATCAAGCTTCCTTCTCTTTTCAAATAGCATGTCAAATCTCTAACATCCACCTGAACAGGCAGATAATGCTAATGACAAATCTGCTAATGCAGTCTCTTCCCCCCACACGCCCCCACCCCCAACGCTGGCCTGGACTGTTGATTTCTGAAGTGGGGCTGCAATCTCTTAACTGTCCAGCGCCTTGGGACGTGAGAGGCGCTATACAAATGTATTTTGTTGTTGTCGTTGTTCTGACCCATAGGCGAGTGTGCTGTTGGCTGAATCAACAACAACAAAATTACATTTATAGAGCGCCTTTCATGTCGGGAGGACGTCCCAAAGCGCTGAACGGTCAAATGTCAGGGCCCGGGCATGGGGGAGGGGTGGTGTAGGGGTGAGGGAAGGCAGAAACCAAGCCATGGTATAGGTTGAAGCCTCCACCATGCAATTCCATCTGCCCATGAAAACTAAGCTTGGTTTTCAGCTCAGGTCTCCCAGGTTGACAGTGCACAGCAACGAGGGATAGTTAGTGCCGGGTGACTGATGAGAAGAGAAGATCCATGCTCTGTGTGGCTGTCCCTCACAATGAGTGATGGCTGACAGGTCTGCTGGTGTAAATGAAACTTCTGTCAGCCTTTCAGAGCAAACGTGCACCAGTGCCTGACATGAAAGAATTTCAGACGTTGACCAAAATCATATATGGTGTGTGACATAGTCGATCACGCCATCCTCCACCGCCCTTCCTCCGTCATCCACCTCAATGGGACCGCACTCGCCCGGTTCGAGTCCTACCTCACAAACCGCCAGCGGTACATCTGCACAAACGGCTTCTCTCGCTCTCACCCGGTTACCTGTGGGGTACCCCAAAGATCCATCCTGGGCCCCCTCCTCTTTCTGATCTACATGCTCCCTCTTGGGGATATCATCTGCAGACATGGGGTACATGTCCACATGAATGCAGACGACACCCAACTCTATTTTTCCACCTCTCTGCGACCCCCAGTCCCCTGATGTTCTGTCAGCTGCCTGTCAGATCTCAGGGGCTGGATGAGCGCAAATTTCCTTCAGCTGAACGTTGACAAGACGGATGCCATACTCTTTGGCTCTCGTCAACGTCTAAAATCTCACGGCTCTCACCTCCT